CGCTGCCAAGTCCTGGGCTCCGGACAGGGGCTACAGCTCCTCAGACTTCAAGGTGATCACCCCTAGGCTCCACTTGCGAGGTTTAAAAACTTTGGGGGGTGCTCCACATGATCTTGGGAACGTGCGGGGCTCCCTCGGATTCGGTGTGAACGCAGCTTTGTATTCTCCACGGGGAGGAGGAGCTCCGTGGGCGGCTCTCAGGTTCTCGAGGCTCACCCGTGTGACCTTGGGCAAGGTTTCCTAACTTGTAATGTCAACTGCTATCATTCTTTGGTTTGTTTATGCAGAGTTCTGGTCCTAGCGTCGCATGTAGTCGGTTCTGAAAGCCGACTGAGGATGTTGCTACTGTAACTTCCTTTTTCCTGAACCTTGTTAGCTAGGAGACCTGGTGCTTATATTTCTGTGGCTCTACTTATTTTGTTGACTCAAACATCCAATGACAATCGGCGAGGTTTGTGTGTTGGAAGGCATGTCATTTAAGTCCACCATCTAGAACGCAAGCAGTGCTGAGTATGTATGTCTTAGCTTCTGTTTGCTTTATTCAGTTTAAGTTAGCTAGCGAACCCTGTATGTACTTTTTTTCCTTTTTTTGGGGAGAGGTTTTGGCTATAGGGCGCGTGCGCTCGCCAGACAGAGACAGAGAGATAGAAAGCGAGAAATCACCCCCCAGGGCAGACGGCCACGCCACAATCCCTTCTCCTTTCTCTCGGGATCTTGGGCATGCAGGCACACTCGCCTGGCGTGAGTTCAAGCCACCTGGTCCAGGACTCGAACCCTGGTCAGCCACATGGGAGTTCAGTGTCACAGCCATTGCGCTAACTGCTGTTTCCCCCCTGTGTGTATTTTTGACTCCACTCTTGTAATTGGAAAGGGAGGAGGGATTCAGCAATTCTGTCTAAAAAATACACTCTTTAATAACTGTGAAGAGCGCTTTTGGACAGAAAAGCAAAGTGATGGAATGACACAGGAAGTGGAGAATTAAGACTATAATGAATAAACTTTGACTTTTTCTAAAATGCTTGTGGTTTAAAAAATGGATTATATTGCAATTAAAAGTTCTCAAAATTGGTACATTCTCCCCAACCTCCCTCCCCCTCCTCTCTCTGTCTCTCTCTGTCTCTGTCTCTCTCTCTCTCTCTCTCTCTGCAGCACCCTATCCAGGCAGCCTAATTTAGCGCTTTGCTTTAAACACATGCATTTCCTGGAGAGAGGGAAAGTGAGAAATTACTCCTGGGGAGAGAAGTGGCCACATTGCAGTCGTTTTTCCTCCATTCTCTTCTGGGTAACACACCCACGTGTGGCCTTTGTGACTTTCAAGTCACCCCAACCATGTGGGAGTCCAGTGCCTTAACCACCAGGCCAGCACCAGTTCTGTATACCTTTTGAGTTGAATGGCCAAAAGAAAGAGCTAGAAGACAAATATAAGGACTAGTTTTTCTTTCCTTTATTTTTCCTCTCGACAGATTTTTCAGTTAAGATCGTATTTATGCAGTTACAAAAAGAAAATTGAAAGCTACTGCAAAGTTTCATTGTAATTCCACTTTTTTTTTGCTGCTGATGCAATATAGATTTGACTAGAGAAAATAAAGTATTGAGTTCAAAAATGGTGTATTTTACTTCAATATAAATTTTCTCAGCAGATAACTGTACATCTCTGTTAATGAAAATGTATGTACTAAAAACCAGAGTTTTGGGGCCAGTAGGTGGCATAGTGGTTAGAGCAGTGGATTCCCATATGGACAACCATGGTTCAAGTCCTGGACCCAGTGACTTGAAACGTACTCCAGGCACATGTGTGTGCGTGCTCAAAATCCTGAGAGGAGAATGGAGAAGGGATTGCGGAGTGACCATCCCCCAGGGGGTTATTTCCCACTTTCTGTCTCTCTGGCAAGCCCACAGACCCTATAGCAAAAAAAAAAAAAAAAAAAAAGACACACAAAATAGGAGTTTAACTTTTAAATATTTTAAAACTAAGCCAGCTTGTCAGTAAGGCAGCTGGCTCCGATGTGGCTGACTACACAGTAGAGGCCAGAGCTAGAGGCTTTGGAAAAGACCCAGGCATGGGCGTACCCAAAATCCCAACAGGAGGGCGTGGTGAAGGAGGCCGATTCCCATGGGGAGATGCTTTCTTGCTTTCTCTCTGCTTCTACTGGGAGCATACACATCCTCTAGCAGATAAAAATGAAACATTTTAAGCTTTAAGTGAAAAAAAGCCAGGTGTTTACTGATGTACTCTTTTTTTTTCCCCCAAAGAAGTTGCATAGGAACACAATTATGTCTAACTTAAAAGGTGAAGGAACACAGGTTGTTTTGTTAGTTTTTGCTATAGGGCATCTGTGCCTCACGTGGGCCAGGTCGGTGTGTGTGTGACAAATTTACCCAGGAAGAAGAGGGGGGATGGCCATGTTGAGATCCCTTCCTCCATTCTCCTGAGGTTCTGAGCACACAAGCACGTGTCTCTTTCAAAGCCACCAGGTTTGGGGCTGGAAGCATGCATTCTTGCAGCCACCTTCACCACCACGCCACAGGCTGGCCCAAGAACACAGGTTTAAGTAGACCTGACTCATGATTAAACGAGGAATAGGAGGGGCTAGCAGGTGGCATAGTGGTTAAGGTGCTGGACTCTCATATGGTGGACTGCATTTCCAGTCCTGGATCAGCGGCTTGAAATTAATGTCCATGTGTGTGTGCGTGCCCAGGACCCCAAGAGGAGAACAGAGGATAAAGGGTTATGACATGGCCATCCCCTCTGGGGTGGGTGATTCCTCGCTTTCTGTCTGTCTCTCTGCTGAGTTCAGGCATCCTATAGCAAAAAACTCTTTAAAGAAATGTGGAACAGGAGCAGAAAATTTCCTTTCATTCTTTCAGCTTTTCTGCATAAGTTTTCTGTAGAGCTTTTGCTGGACAAGACATTTCAGACTGTTGAGGATTTCTAGGTATTTTGTGTTCTCTATTCATGAAAATAAATTTAGTTCCTTGTTGCCCTGTAAGAGGTAGCAATATTAAGGGCTATTTATTTAGCAGTGTTGTTAGCTTTTAAAATAATTAGCTAATTATGGAGCTGGCAGGTGTTGGTGGTTAAGGGCACTGGACTCCACATGACAGACCACGGTTCGAATTCTGGACCTGGCGGCTGGCTTGCTTTCTCACTTTCTCTCATTCTGTCCCTCTCTGGCCAAATTAAAATAAATAAATAAAGTTAAATAAAATAATTCTTTAAAAAAATAGCTAATTAATTTAAGACAGGGTCATTAAGTGTTGTGATCCTCCTGCATCAGCCTCCCAGCTGGGACTGCAAGCCCCTGTTTCCACACTCAGCTCCTTTTATAGACAGGGACTCACCCTATTGTCCGGCCACCACTGAGACCAAGACCTTCGTGCTTCTGCCTCCCTTAGTATGGAGATGCTTCCCTGCCCAGGCTTTGGGTTGGACAGGACTCAACTCCAGTAGCCCACGTGGGCCCAGCAGTGCTCACACTGTGGCCGAGCTCCAGGTGATCACATCTGAGGTGAAACTGATAGATTTGAAGAGTCCTCTTGAACAGGTTTATTTTTTGTAATACGTGCTTAGCTATACGTCTCGTTATTATTGGAGGAATTAGGATAACTTATCTGAATTCTGAGAGTGAGACTGCTCAAAAAAATTAAAAGACCATTCTTTGAATTAGTATACGTTTCATATGCAATATTTAAACTCCTAAATATGATGTTTTCTCCCCTTTCTAGGAAAAATTGGACATGTCTAGATTTCCTGTTGAAAATATTAGAAATTTCAGTATCATTGCACATGTGGATCATGGCAAAAGTACTTTAGCTGACAGGCTCCTGGAGCTGACAGGTATTTTCACTTTACATTACATATGTAATTGATGGCAGTGAGTAGTTGGGAATTACTCTTACCATGTTCTCTTAAATTTTGGGTTTAATTTTATATGTAGCATTTTCTTTTTTAAAGCCCAGAGAAATATCAAGTGTTTCTATTTACAGGAACAATTGATAAAACAAAAAACAATAAGCAGGTTCTTGATAAGCTGCAGGTGGAACGAGAACGAGGAATTACTGTGAAGGCACAGACGGCTTCGCTTTTTTACAGTTGTAATGGAAAACACTACCTTTTAAATCTCATTGATACACCGGTAAGTTTAATACTGATTTTGCACGTAACTATTAACATCAGCTAGTAGTGCAAATAAATCCTTGTTTAAATTTTGAACTGAATATTAAAACATCCACCTTTTTGTTTGTTTTCTTAATGTTCTTGTTTAATACCGATTTTGCACGTAACTACTAACATCAGCTAGTAAATCCTTGTTTAAATTTTGAACTGAATATTAAAACATCCACCTTTTTGTTTGTTTTCTTAATGTTCTTTTAGTGTAAATTATTTCGGAAGTTCAGGCTAAAAATAAGAAACCTATGTGTGACATTTTTTGTTAAGTAGAGTCAATATTTGCTATAATGTCCTTTCCTAAAAAATATACCAAATATTTAGAGGTATTGATATTTTTGTTTCTCAGGGCCATGTTGATTTTAGTTATGAAGTATCCAGGTCACTTTCTGCTTGCCAGGGTGTTTTACTTGTGGTTGATGCAAATGAGGTAGGTATTTTTCATTTTCTGTGATCTGACAATGCCTTTGGTTGTTGGGGTGGTTTTATTAAAATAAGTTTGAGAAATATAATTTTTTTATTGTTTGAAATCTTTAGTTTCCAGATTATTTTAGGTGATTTTAAGGCAGTAATTTGAAAATGTTAGGTTTAAAAAATATTGAGAACATAACTAAACTATTTTATAGTATAACCATAAACTATAAAAACATAATTCAGCAGATATCCATTTAAGAACCCAGAAGTTCTTTTGTTGCTATGGTAAGCCTTTCCCGATCCTCCCAAGATAAGTCGGGATCTTACACACGTAGTACTGGGTTTTGTAAATGGTGTTGCTTGCCTGTGTGTGTCCTCTAGGAGGGTTTGAGGGCCTTGAGGGTCCATGTTTTATTGTTGGATCTCCAATGCCTGGCATAGCTGCTGGTCCAGAAAAGGCCCTCCAATAAATGCCTCTTGAATTTCAGGACTTAATACAAGAACAGTCCAGATGCGTGGCAGTATTGCCACCACACTTTATGCCTGTATTTTTGCACGAGACTCTCAGACCTGGTGTCATGTCTGCCAGCTCACCATGCTTGGTGTGGTTATTGCTTTGCCAACGGCAGTCTTTATTTTGACCTCTTTCTTAACCCATAAGCTGGAGAAAAAAGTAGGAAGGGCAGATATATGACATTTTATTATCAGAATGACACAAAAATCTCAGTTTGATGAAGATTGTTCTAGTCTGTTTTGTGTTGCTATAACAATACTTGAGACTAGATAATTTATAAAGAAAGAGATTTATTTAGCACATGATACTGATGACTGGAAAATCTAAGAGCCTAGCACTGGCACTGTTCTGCTTTTGATAAAGGCCACAGGCTGTGTGGTGGAGCAGCGTGGTGGAGAAAAGGAAACGCGAACTGCTGGATATGTATGACGTGGGGCTAAAATTTGTAACAATCTGCTCTCATAAGAACTAATCCATTCTCAGGAGGCCTAACTCACCCTCTTCCCACTAGAAAGGAACTAATCACTCTTAGCTACCTAATCACCTATTAAAGACACCACCTCTTGACAGCACTAGTGTATGCCAACAGATTTCAACATCAGTTTTAGAGGGAACACACTTGAAACTGGAACATGCAAAGATAATTTGGAATGGTCAAGCTCTGTAATGGACGGTAGAATGCTCACCTCAGTGTCTTATGTTTTGATATTGCCAGGGTATCCAAGCCCAAACTGTAGCAAACTTCTTTCTTGCCTTTGAAGCACAGCTGTCAGTAATTCCAGTTATAAACAAGGTAATTACAATAAGATAATCCTATCTACTGTTTCACCTTCTCTCTTTTTTATGGGGGGGGGAGAGATTTTCGCTATAGGGCACGTGCACTTGCCAGACAGACAGAGAGAGACATAGAGACAGAAAGCGAGAAATCACCCCACCCCCACCCCCTCCCCGGGGGGACGGTCACACCGCAATCCCTTCTCCTCCATTCTCCTCTCAGGATCTTGGGCACGCACGCACACGCGCCCGGTGTGAGTTTTAAGTCACCGGGTCCGGGATGCAAACCACGGTCGACTATGTGGGAGTCCAGCGACATAGCCATTACGCTAACTGCTGGTTCCCTGTTTCACCTTCCCATAGTATATTTCCTGTTTAAATGCCAGGTGAACTATTTTTTATATGAGGGCTCTCTAGTTATGAGTTACATTGTATGAGGTAGAATTGCAATTTAAACTTATATACCTTTGTACATATTAGAAGCTAGTCCCTCTGAATTACGTGGACTGACGGAGGGCCATTTCTATTGGGAAGGGATACAGGGCAGAAAAATTATTGTCTACAAACTAAACTATACATGGGAAAAGAAAGGAGATTATGATACAGCACATGAAACATAATCATTGCTGAGCTGACCTCTGACTAAAATCATTTCATATTTTAAAATTAATAAATTAAGAATCTTAATTTTGGGATCAGATGGCATAATGGTTGTGTCCCTGGACTCCCATGTAGTCGACCATGGTTCAAGTCCCAGACCTGGGGGCTTAAAACTCACACTGGTTGCTTGTGTGCGTGTGCCCTAAATTCTGAGAGGAGAATTGAGAAGGGATTGCAGCAAGGCCATGCCCCCCTCCGGGGTGGGGGGGTGACTGCTCACTTTCTGTCTATCTCACTCTCTGTCTCCCTGGCAAGCTAACATGCCCTATAGCAAAAAATCTCTAAAAAAAAAAAAAAAAAACAAAACCAACTTAATTTTAAAACCTGCATTCAATTATATTTATTGATATTGGAATTAAATATAAAAATAGCAAGACTGCCCACAAGTAAAGACAACTTATCAAACTTTATTTTTCAGTTAGCCCCATTGGGACTGATTTTTAAAGTTAAAACATTAAATTTGATATGTTGTCTTACCTGTGGACAGCCTTGCTCACAGAACTCTTCTGCCCTTTTAAGTAGCCATTTAAAGTTTTTTGCATGCTCTCCTGTCTGACTTCTATTTTTTCATAGTAACACTTGTTAAAATTGTATCACTCATGTAGAGATTATTTTAATGCTTTTGGGGAAAAAATTATAGAGAGGTCAATTAAGTAAGCATTCAGTCACTTCAAAAATTTGAAGAAGGGGCCAGCAGGTGGCATGGTGGATAAAGGCACTAGATTCCCACATGGCCAACTGCAGTTCAAGTCCCAGACCTGGCAGCTTGCTTTCTTGTTTTCCCTATTTCTCTCTCTCTCTGTCTGTTTCTGGTCAGATTAAAAATAATAACAACAACAAATGGAATTAAGTAAATAAATGATTATTTTTAGAAAACTGATGAATAATATGTTTTATTTTTATTATACTAACACAGTGCATTTTGTTTTTTAAAGATAGATCTTAAGAATGCTGATCCTGAAAGGGTTGAAAAACAAATAGAAAAAGTGTTTGATATTCCAAGTGATGAATGTATTAAGGTAAAAATAGCATTTTGTTTTGTTTTTAAGAAGACCTTTGGTTGTATTTTTTAACATCTTGGGTAATTTACCTAAGTGAAATTCCATGGTATTTGGTGGCTGAACATTGTATAATGTTTTTATAGTTTTACAAAGTTCTCTTACTATTACTGTAGTTGATCCTCACCAAGAATGCTCCTTATATTGATTGAGACATATAGAAATTATCATTATTTTACAGTGAAAAGACCTTAGGCACAACGATTTTACCACTTTCCTAGATCACAGGTTCAGTTAGCCAGTGTACCAGGACTAGAACACAGGCCTTCTAAAATTCATTGCAGTATTATTCCTTGTATGCGATTTTGCATTTCAAGGCAATTTGTACATGTATTCTTGGAGTTAGCAAAAAACTATCTTATAAAAAGAGCTAACTATAGCAATGTTAGCAAACAGATTTTATGTCAAAGTTAATACCAGTTTAAATTTGATTCTTTATTTAACTTTCATATGATGGTTTGCTTGGTAAGTAGCCATAGCCAAACTGCTGTGCTATATGGTAGTGTTGTAAAAATGTCAGTGTAACAGTATGTTTTCTTCTTAATCTTACTTGGCTTTTGAAGAGCAAGTTTTAGGTGGTAGGCATATTTTTTGTTTGTTTTGGTTTTGCTTTTTTGCTAAAGAGCATATGCGATTGACATAGAAAAGTGAGAGGGAAAGCACTCCCCATAGGGAACGGTCATGCTGCAATCTTTTCTCCATTTCTCTCTCCGTTTTGGGGTTCTGTGCATGAACGTATACGTGCCTGGTATATTTCTCAAGCTACTGGGTCCAAGACTCAAATTGCATGGTTCACCATGTAGAATATGGCTCCCTTAACTACCAGGCCATAGATCTTGCCCCTTTGGTTTTTTTTTTAACTTAAACATAAATGGATGATTTTATATGATCTGATAATGACTGAATAAATTAATAATCTTTTTGTCTTGAATATGTACATAGAATTTAGTGGTTTTAAAAAAATACAAAGAGGGGCTGCATTTAAGGCAGTCAACTTGAATTATGGTTTTTATATTTCGGATTGTGTTATATTAAAGTATAATGAACTACTCTGATTTTAGTTTTTACAAAATTCAGGTGCTTTGGTATATTCTGGCCAGGGATGTGGCACTAAATAAAACAGACAATAAATACCCTTGCCCCTCTAAAAGTCAATAAGTAAAACACAGAAGTAAGCACATTAATTATTGCATGGGACAGATAATATCAAAGAACTTTATTCAACAAATTGTATTGTTGTAGGTGAAATACCATAATAATAGAAAAACTGTTTTCTCAGATGCTATGACATGGAGTAACTTAGGGAAAGCTTCTCTGGTAAACTAAGATCTGAAGAAATGAAAGAGTTGTTATTTTTTTTTTTTCGGAGAGGTTTTTGCTATAGGGCGCGTGTACTCGCCAGACAGACAGACAGAGACAGAGAGACAGAAAGTGAGAAATCACCCCTCAGGGGGGGGGGCCTTGCCGCAATCCCTTCTCCAGTCTCCTCTCAGGATCTTGGGCACACACGCACACGCGCCCAGCGTGAGTTTAAGCCACCAGGTCCGGGATGCGAACCGCGGTCGACTACGTGGGAGTCCAGCGACATAGCCATTACACTAATTGCTGGTCCCAAGAAATGAAGAGTTTTGAGAAAAGCATTCCAGGAAGAGGAAAATGTGTGAAGGCTCTAAATTAGGACAGGGTGTGTCATGTTTAAGGAACAAAAAAGGAGCCAAGTTGAATGAGATGGCTTCATATGATAAGCAAGAAGTCCTTTTTCCACAAGTTCCTGTGCTAAAGAGTTTGAAAATTAAAGATAGTGAAAGGATAGGGGCCAGCAGGTGGCATAGTGGTTATGGTGCTGTACTTCCACATGACTGACTCAGGACCCAGAGGCTTGAAATCACACTGGGCATGTGTGCAAAATCCAAAATACCAGGAGGAGAAAGAATTGCATCATGGCCATCCATGTTGGGGTGATTTCTCACTTTCTCTTTTAATGTTCTCTCTCTCAGCGAGCACATGTACTCTATGACAAAAACCTCTCCACCAAAAAAAAAAAAAAAAAAAAAAGACAATGAAAGGATTATAAAGCAGGAGAGAAAAATAAACCTATCGCTCAGGTTGCCTCACAGTGAATGGATTAGGGTGTTCAAGAGAAACCAGCTAGCAATAATAACTCAGATGTGAAGTGATCCTAACTATCTCTGTTGTGACATTGGAGAAATAGATAATTTGGTGTTTATTTTGTAAGCACAGTAAAATTTACTGCTAGGTTACATGTAAGTAAAAGAAAGGGAAGACCCAAGGAGGCTTTCTTTGCATTTGAGCATCTGGATGAATGGTGTTACCATTTATTGATGTGGAGTGGACTAGGGAGAGACAAGATCTAGGGTGGAAATAAAGAGCTCTGTTTTAGACATACTGAGTTTAGGTCTTTTAGACATCTAAGCAGAGATACTGCATAAATTCCCAATTCTAACATTCATGGGGAGGTCTGGGTCAGAGGCATCAACATATTAAGAGCCATAGAATTTAAAGCCATGGAAACAAATGATTACCCATGGAGAAAGTATAGATAGAGAAGATATCCTAGAAGTCGGGATCTTATTGTCAATTTAGAGTATTATGAATAAAAACTTTAAAAGGGTAGAGAGAGGATAGGATTTATACAGAAGTATGTTAAGGATTGACTTTTCAGAGAAGAAATCCTTGCTAGATTTTTACAAGAAAAGGCAGAAAAACTGGGTCCGGTGTAGATAGGTTGGTATATTTATTTATTAGAGGTTTTTTCCTTAGGGCGTATATACTCACTGGAGAGAGAAACAGAGACTGTGAGAAGGAAGTGAAAAATCACCCCTCAGAGGGGATGGCCATACCACAATCCCTTTTCCTCCACTCTCTTCCCAATATCTTGGGCATGCATGCACATGTGCCCAGAGCGAGTTTCAAGCCACTGGGTCTAGGCTCATACTATTGTCAGCCATGTGGGAGTTTTTGATGTTTTCTTTTCCTTAACGAAATAGGCAGATTTAACGAGAATAGATTGGCCAGATTGGAAAATGTGTGAGTTGAAAAGGAAGGTGGTATGGAATGATCTTACTGAGTGGTAATGTGAATTTACTGGGGCACGTGTGGTGGAACTGACAGGAAGTGTTAATCCCATGTTGAGTTCTGTGATCATGAATTCACAAGAAATAAAATGGACCAGCTGTCTCATTTTTCTCCAGTAATGTTAAGTGTCACAGAAAAGGCACATAACTGGATGTGTCAAGGTGGAGGTTTTGCCTACTGCCTATGACAGAGAGACTAGAAAGTGTCTTTAAAGAGAGACTATAAATAATTGACGTTGGGGTTCCAGCTAGGATGGGATGGAAAAAGAGTGAGGAGCTAATCAGTAACACAGAACAGTGTATTCAATAGATTAAAAGTTAACTGCTGCAAAGAAGGTACTGGAGCCTAGATCAGTGGTTCTCAATGGCATATGGTTTTACCCAGATTTTTCAAACTGTCCATTGCTCTTTCAGTACCACAGTCAGAACACTCTCATAATTCAACCCTCGAACTATAGGTCCACCTCACTGTAATGGCAAGACACATCTGGCCGTATACTGCTTGCTTTGTGTGTCTCCTTTCACTGTATTCGTCAAACAGATTGGTAACTGATAAAATTCTTCTGGTCATACAGAAATCTTTGGGATAGAAAAGCTTAGAATTTATTTTTTTCACATGTATTTTTAGATTTCTGCTAAACTTGGAACAAATGTTAAAAGTGTTCTTCAAGCAGTTATTGAGAGAATACCCCCGTAAGTACTTTGATTTTTATGTACTTTGTGCATATTTAATAGTTCAAAGACCATCGGTTTTATCTGTTATTTTAGCTTAGTGGATATGGCAAATCCCCTTGAAGTCAGTGAGAATAATTTGTACTTGCTTTCAAAGGTATATGGAAGGCAGATACAGTACAGTAAAATAAAAAGCAAGGATGATCGGGATCTCTGCTTGACAGTCATTACAGTAGAGACGTCAATAGTTGGCAATTACTGTTCTTTGCTTTATATTGAAAAATATATTCATTAATAATTAAAAGTGGTTAATTTATTTAAAACTTGAGATTGAATTAAACATATATTTTATTAAAAAAAAAGTTCCTTTTATTTTGGCTGGTAGGCATATCAACCTTTCTTGAGAACTAGAATAAATTAAGCTTAATATCTAAGTTGAAAATAAGACATTTTTCAGGCCCAGCCTGTGGCCTGGTGGTTAAAGTGGCTAGATTCCACATGACCAACTGTGTGGTTTAAGTCCTAGACTCGTTGACTTGAGAAATACTCTGGGCTTGTGTGCATGCATGCTCAGAATCGCGAAAAGGAGGGAGAAGTGAAGCAGGGATTTCAGCAAGACCATGTCCCATCAGGGGTGTTTTCTCACTTTCCTTCTCTCTGGTCAGTGTATGTATGGCAAAAATTAAGAAACAAACAAACAAAAAAAACCCAGAAATAAACATTTAGTAAGATTTTAATTTTGTATGTTTTTTCTCTTTTGGTTTTTTTGTGTTTTTTTTTTTTTTTATATTTAATAGTCCTAAAGTGCATCGTAAAAATCCCCTAAGAGCTTTGGTATTTGACTCCACCTTTGACCAGTATAGAGGTGTGATAGCCAATATAGCATTGTTTGATGGAGTGGTTTCCAAAGGAGATAAAGTAGTATCTGCACATACTCAGAAGATTTATGAAGTTAATGAAGTAGGAATTTTGAATCCTAATGAGCAGTCAACTCACAAATTGTAAGTAATCTGTGTTAGTAATTAAAATACATTTCTGTGTGTTTCTAATTTTGCCTCTGTCTATTTGGCATGCTTAGAATGACTCCAATTTGGTAAATTTTTAAAAACCTGATTTCTTAAATCTGTCTATGTAGCACATCTTCTGTCAAAAGGAGTCTTAATTTGTGAGAGATGTAGACTCTTCTTGGGAGGCCAAGCCCACAGTGGTCCACTCTGCTAAGATACTTTGTTCTACACCTGGGACCATATGAGAAGCCCAGAACTATTCCCAGTCCAGCCTACAGGCCAGGAACAGTGGTGTGTGCCTATAATCCTAATGACTCAAGGAGACTGGCAGAAAGACCACATAGTAGGACTGTGTCTTAAACGTCTATGGAAGCATTATTGATATATTTTTGTTTTTCACTAGTCACAACTAATTTAATCATGCTGTGTAGATTGGATCCTGTATCGATCGATGTATTTGATGGGATAATGAGTTTGTTCCCTCTGTTTGTATATCCATTTGGGGTATCATTTTTGACATTTAATGTCTTTATAACCGGCTTTTATATCATTAAAGTAGTATAGAAATTTTGATGATTTCTTTGGTGTGGAATATACAGGGAGTAGATTTAGCAAGACAAAATGCACTAGAAGAAAAGATGAGTTTGGTTAAAACAAGTGTTTGTTGTTTATGTCGGGTACCGATGAGACATGATCTTGGGACATATTTGAAGTTTCTAGGTCCTATTTCCTCATTCGTAAAAATTAAGGTATTGAACCAGATGACTATGAAGTCACATTATGAAGGTTTAATGTTATATCTAAAAGTAGCATGTTGCTGATTACATGTTTTGAGTCAGAAAGTTTATTTTAACTTTATTGAAATATTTATAAAGTTTGTTTATATTTTTGCCTATATAGTTAACACTTTGCATCTTCATTTAAGTTCTTGTACCTCATCCTGAATAGTATTAGTCTGTTATTGTATAGGGAATTGTTTTAAAAACCAAGCTAAACTAGGGACCAGCAGTTAGCATAATGGCTATATAGCTGGACTCCCACGTAGTCGACCACGGTTCGAGTCCTGGACCCAGTGGCTTAAACTCACGGCGGGCGCATGTGCATGTGTGCCCAAGATCCCGAGAGGAGAATGGAAGAGAAGGGATTACAATGTGGCCATTCCCCCTGGGGGGTGATTTCTTGCTTTCTGTCTCTCTGTCTATCTCTGTCTGTCTGGCACATGCCCTATAACAAAAACCTCTCCAAAAAAAGAGAGAGAAAAAAAAAAAGCTAAACTAAAAACTCTTCTTATAGGAACATCAAATAGATGTCAAATTCGTTGTGAGTTCACATTTTTCTACATGTTAAAAATGTTTTCCTTTGTTAAAGAGCATTTGTAACACTTTGATTAGTAAAATAGATGTCACAAGTACTGTATTATATCCCTTTGCTTTAATAAAATAGATGTCACAAGTACTGTATTATATCTGCATTGAGCAGTTTCACTGTGTTGATAATAAGCTGTCACTTAATTTGCAAAGTGGGCAGAGTCATGAAGGAGGCCTTAAACTTCTGATTCAGAGGTCCTTGAGTAAGAGATCCTAAGACGCAATGTGGTTTTTTTGATTGATGAACCTTAGAAATTGAGAAATGATATGTAGCACTTTTCAGTGATTAAGTTTTTTGGAAAGTGTGTGATAGCTTCCTGAAAAGGCAGCAGTAATTTTGATTATACTCTTAAAGCTTTAAATCAGTGAATATTTGCATATAATTTTATTTAGATATGCAGGACAGGTGGGCTATCTGATTGCTGGGATGAAAGATGTCACTGAAGCTCAAATAGGAGATACATTATATTTACATAAACAACCAGTGGAGCCCTTGCCTGGGTTTAAATCAGCGAAACCAATGGTATTTGCAGGTGAGGAGCTCACAAATTCAAAGGTTGAAGACCGAAATATTTTTTAAATAAAAGTCTACCTCTACAGTGAAATAAAAATGATTAGAAGTATACATTCTGGTTATTTTAAGTGACTGCCAATGTCAGGATATTCTTTTTCACTTAACTGTATTTTGTTAAAATTTTTTCTTTCTTTTTTTTTTGGTGTGCTGTTCAGGTATCAGTTTACAATTTTATATGTTTCATGAAATTTTACATGGGAGATTATTTAGTACGCCTTAAGAAATAAACTCTTAGGAAATAAACTCTGATATACATAGTTTTATGAATTTATTTTTTTTTCTTTAAGAAGTTATTCCATTATTTGAAATATTTTCCTAACTAGAATGTTTTTCTTACTCATTATCCATATTCATTTACTGAATGCCCTCCTCCTAGCTGGCTTTTCTATAATATTGTATTGTACTAGTGTAGACATGACAAGAATAATGTCACTGAAAATATGTGTGACTTCAGAACCTTGTACTACTGTGTAATACTGAAGACATTTGGAAAAGGATACCCGATTGAAGGTCATCAGGTCAATCTGGGCATTTCGCCCTTGGCCTTCTCCCTACAGTCTTTTTCACTGGGAATTATGAACTTTGTTTACATCCACATTCAGACAGTCAATCATTTGGATTTGGAAGGACTTGACAAGTGTGGGGTTCAGATGTGTTTGATGAGGGATAATCTGTGAATCAGTAAAACTCCCAGTGTTTTGTAAGTAAATTGCAAAAAAGCAAAAGCAGTATTTATTTTTTTCTGAAAAAAATTCATTTACTTAGGACCGAAGAGTTTTGTAAGTAAATTGCAAAAAAAGCAAAAGCAGTATTTATCTTTTTCTGAAAAAAATTCATTTACTTAGGACCAGCAGATGGCGTAATGGTTACATCATTGGCTTCCCATGTAGTCCACAGTGGTTCGAATCCTGGACCCAGTGGCTTAAGAGTCACACCAGGTGTGTGTACATATGTGCCCAAAATCCCAAGAGGAGAATGGCGAAGGGATTGTGGCATGACCGGCCCCCCACCGTCTCCCTGGGGGGTGGTTTCTTGCTTCCTGTCTCTATCTCTGTCTCTCTGGCAGGTGCACATGCCCTATAGCAAAAATCTCTCTCAAAAAAAATTCATTTACTTCTTTTTTTTGGAGAGGTTTTTGCTGTAGGGCATATGTGCTCGCCAGACAGACACAGACAGACAGAAAACGAGAAATCACACCCCAGGGGGGATGGCCACGCCGCAATCCCTTCTCCTCTATTCTCCTCTTGGGATCTTGAGCATGCACGCACACGCGCCCAGCGTGAGTTTAAGCCACTGGGTCTGGGACTCAAACTGCAGTCGACTATGTGGGAGTCCAGCGACATAGCCATTACGCTAACTGCTGGTCCCTCATTTACTTCTTAAGCGTAGTAGGAAATACCCCCAACAGGGTCCTGACACTGCAGTTTTCTTTCAACCTCAGCCAGCTACAAAGATATGTGTGCCGATGTGCATAGGATGCCCTCAGGCCACTCAGGACCTTCCCATATGGCATGAGTATCGCAGAGTGTTACATGACCACCATGCCACTGCAGGTTATTCTTTTTTTTTTTTTTAAATTAGATTTTTGCCATAGGACATGAGCACTCACCAGAGAGACAGAGAAGAAAATTGAGAAGTAATCCCTCAGGAGTGATGGCAGTACCATAGTCCCTTCTCCATTCTCCTTTTGGAATTTTGGGCATGCACACACATGTGCCTAGCATGATTTTTAAGTCACCAGGTCCGGAACTGGAACTGCGGTCAACCAGAGATCTAGCACCTTAATTACCATGCCACCTGTTGGCCCCTTATCTTTGGTTTTAATGGATAATACATCCCAAAGACTTGTAGAATGTCTTGTGCTTTTGGGTTTTTTTTGAAACACATACAATGTATTTTCCTGTTCGATCAAATTCCCAAAGGTATTTTTTTCTCTCTGTTTTTGCAAAAGCATAAAAACATTACTTGTTGTATGACTACACTTGTCAATTTGTTAAGGCTAATGACTTACAAAATACTTTGAAACCAGTTTAACCTAATTTTCAGAGATTTTTAGTGAAGCAATAATTTGGTCAATAAAATACAGCAATTTTAAGAGCAAAAATTTATTTTGAACTTGGCAACTCTATGTATTAGGTTAGGTTATCATATGTGATAATGAGAAATCATTGTGTCCCCAGGAGTGTACCCTATAGACCAATCTGAATATAAAAACCTGAAGAGTGCTATAGAAAAACTAACTTTAAATGACTCCAGTGTGACAGTTCATCGAGACAGTAGCCTGGCCTTGGGTGCTGGATGGAGGTAAGCTTTATTCACATTGTAGAGTCACATTTTCTTTTTCTTTTTAAAAATTATTTATGTATTTATTTATTTATTTATTTTCTTACAGTCATTTGTTGTACATCAATACAGTATACAAAATGAGATTTTCCATCCAGGATACATTGTATATTCACTCAATCAAGAATGCATGTTATTAAAAAAAAAAAAGAAAGCATGTTATCATCAACTAATAATTTTCTTTTTTTTTTTTCTTCCATTTTTTGTTTTTTTTTTCCCCCCCTTTGATTCCCTACCTCTCTCCCTCTGCCAATTCCCCCCATTCTCCCACAGTCTCTAGTATGTTCAGTTGTATTCCATTGCCTTTTTTTCCCTCCACATTTTATTGATTCACTAAAGATCTTAATTTAAAATTTTTCAGTAGTAAGCACAGCTAATAAGTACATGTCTATGAATGCACGTCTGACTTTAGGCATAAACCTCAGTGAGTAAAGTGAACATACTATAAAGTAGCACCTCACTGGGGCTATATAGCTTACTGCAGTCATTAAATAGGTATTAGTTGGTATTTTTTAGTGCATTCTTTAATTTCAAGAAAAACAGTTTTAGTTTTAATAGATCAGAACCAAAAAATGTTAAGAGAAAATTGCTTAAAACTTAAAGTCAGGGAAAAGGTTAGTATTCAGTTCAAAGAGTAGGTAGATGAACCTATCAACAGTTCAAGAGAAGACAAAAAGCCTTAACTATGGAAATCAAAGCATCAAAGAAAATAAGTAATGTTTTAGTCTAAAGTCAAAAAAATTCTATTCCACTAGTTCATACTTAACGAATTACTCTCTCTTCTGTTGAATTTTCAGTGTTACTGTGGTCCGATTTTTCCATTTAGACTCTGGAAGTTGACATTCAGTTCCAGACTTGTCCCTACCATTAGGCTGGCCATTCTCTTGGTTGCTTTTTTGTACTCTTATTTCTATGTATTTGACTTTAGATTTCCTGATACAGCACTCCCTTTAGCATTTCTTGGAGAGCTGAAGTGGTGTTGGTAAATTCTTTCAGATTTCGTTTATTTGAGAATGTTTTTGTCTTTATTGCCTTATGAAAGATAATCTTGCCAGGTATTCTCTGTTGAAATTGTTTTTCACTTAACACTTTGAATATATTTTCCCATTCTTTTCCTTGTTTATAGTTTCTGACGAGAGGTCCGAAGTTAGCCTTATGGGATATCCTTTGAAAGTAACCTGACGTTTCTCTCGTCAAATTTAGTATCTTGTCTCTGTGGTTTTGGTTAATCTTGCTATGATGTGCCTCGGGGAAGATCATCTTGGGTTGATTCTATGTGGGGTCCTTCGTATTTCTTGGGTCTGGATATTTGAGTGGCTTTCTAGGTTTGAAAAATTTTCTTCCTGGATTTCATGGAATAGTTTATCAATGTCCTTACTAGTTTCTTCACTTTCTGGGAAACCGATGATCCAGATGTTTGGGTGTTTGATGATATCTACTATCACTTGTATATTCTAATTTTTTGTGGTTATTTTCTTAGTCTTTTTGGTGAATTTTTCTAGGTCACAGGTTCTGTCTTCTACATCTGAGATTCTATCTTCTGCATGATATAATCTGCTTTTGATATTTTCAAGGGAAGTTTTGATTTCCTGTATTACAGCCTTCATCTCTGACAATTCTGTTTGATTCTTTATGATGTGTATCTCCTCTTTCAGATCGTGCAAGAACTTCCTCACCTCCTGGACTCTGTTTCTTTTCTCCGGCATCTTCTGAAGTTCATTGTCTCTTTCTTCTCTTGCATCTCTGTTAGCTTTGTCACTATGAATATTTTAAATTCTTTATTTGACATTTCCATGAGTTCCCTTGTATTCTCTGTGGAGGAAGAGGAGTTATTCTTTTCCCTTAGAGGAGAGATATTGGTTTCTCACATTTCTTGTGCCTTTGTGGTGGTTTCTGGTCATCTGATGGATTATATGTTTTTTCCTAGTTTTTGGAGTTAAATCTGAGCATTGAGAGGAATGTAGGAGGAGGGGACTTGCAGTCTTTAAACAGTACCATTTTTCTCCCTTTGCATAAACTCAGTGAAAATCGAGGATTAATTTGACTTTAAAAGTTCTCAGATATTTGGCTACTAAGGACCTAGACTTATTTAGAAAATCAGTGTGTGGAGGCTCAGCAGAAAATTGAGAAAGGTGGAAAGAAAAGGAAAAGGAATAGAAAAAATTAAAGAAGAGGAACAAAAAAGACAAAAGGAATGAAAAAAAATTTTTTTTGGTCAAAACATGAAAACCGCATGGCGGCACTAGTGTGCTGTGTGAATGGGGCCGCTCAGAACTCAAAAATAGATGGCTGCTGATTGGCTTACCCTATGGGGGCAGGGGGGGAAGGTAAGAATTAACAAGATGAAAAAATGGTAGAGTGCTAAGAAGTTTAAAATTTAAAAAATATTAAAAATAGAGATAGATTGAGAGAGACAGAGAAAATAAGTAGGGTACTGAACCTGGCTCCTGGCCAGGTCTAGGGGGCAGGAGGATGAAGACTGGACAGAGGGTCTTCTGTGGTCATAATCTAGAGTCACATTTTGCTAGGGAAATGAAATTTCAGTGGCGTATTGCCCTTAGTTCATGGTAGTGTAAAATGAACTAAATATTCACACTGTGAAACCTATTTCACCTGGATGGTCATATTGTTGGTGAGTTTTTAGACACTTAATATAGATTTCTAATAGAAGATTTTGATCTTATTTAATGAAAATTACACTACACTTAATTAGGATGTAAATTGCTTGAATTACTCTTGGCCCCAGCCCTCCCCTACAAAGTAATATATGTTCATCAAAAAAAAATAGAGCTGATGGGACATAAACATTTTGGAATTTGGCTGTTCCCCTTCCCCTAGGTTGGGATTTCTTGGACTTTTACACATGGAAGTTTTCAACCAGCGACTAGAACAAGAATATAATGCTTCCGTTATTTTGACAACCCCTACTGTTCCATATAAAGCTGTTCTTTCATCAGAAAAGCTGATCAAGGTACTGTGGTGTTGTGTACTATTTTGCACAGTATAAAAAGGAAAACTTAAATATTTGTATGCAGAATGGAAGAGAAACTTTAGTATACTGGTAAACTAGCTATTTAAAATTGATTAAATATTTACCGATTGATTAATGGTAATAAAAATAAATTACATGTCTAATGATGGAGAATGTTTGTGAAAGCTAAATTATACAGAATTTTTCCTGACCTGCAGTGATCTCTATATTATTAAAACTAGTCAGTTACTAACAGTAATGAATATACTATTCTAAATCCAGCCCTTGGATGACAAATACAAATTTGGTCATAAGTAATTTATTCATAAAAAGTGAAGCATTTTTTCCTGTGACTGGCAGAAATTTTGGATCTCAGGTTACTGATAGAGTTAATATTGTACCTATCTGTTCACTTCTCACAAATATTTTCTTAGAGATTGATAAATACTTCCCCAAACTATTAGCGTAATGTATTCTTATGAAATACTTTTTCTATTTTTTGTTGTTTTTTTTGTTTAAGGTTTTTGCCATAAGGTGCATAGAGATACAGAGACAATGAGCAGGAAAGTAAGAAATCACTCTGTGGGGATAGCCATGCTGCAGTCTTCTTCTGGGATTTGGTCACGCATGCACACATGCCCAGTGTGATTTTCCATCCTCTGTGTCCAGGACTTGAACTGCTGCTGACCTTGTGGGAGTCCAGTGCCTTAACCACTATGCCACCTGCTGGGCCCATGCAGTACTTTTCCTAAATGGTTCATGAAATGTGTTTAGTAAATGCAACTAAAATATTGGGTTGTCAGAAAATCCTGATGTATTTATGTGTTTTCTATGCAAAAATGCATAGAAAAATGGCTTTTTTGACCACCTAATACATTGTTTATTGTTATTTAATAAATGATTACCACTGGAGGGTTTTTTAAAGCATATAAAGATAATCTATACCTGATCATAGCTAAAAGACAAAAAAGTGATGATAACCTAAACTTCAGAAAATCTTCTTTTATTAATCCCAACAAATTTGGTAACTTCTCTATCCATAAATGCAAAACAAACTTAAGGTGCATGGTAATTATCATGTTCATGTTTTCATTTTTTCAACTAATGTTGATTTCTCTAATTTTTAGGAATTTCGAGAAAAAGAAATTACAATCATCAATCCTGCACAATTCCCTGATAAATCAAAAGTAACAGAATATTTGGAGCCAGTTGTTTTGGGCACTATTATTACACCAGATGAATATACCGGAAAAATAATGACCCTTTGCCAGGTATACATGTAAAGTACAATTTAATACAAAAGTAAGTTTCAGTTCTCTGAAACAGTGGTTTCCAGTCAGGTTTTAAAATTTTTCTTTCTTCTCAGCATGCTTAATTTAAAACAGATTTTCATATATATCTGTTTGTATGCTTATTTTGATTTTGAGTTTATTGGTTAGGATTTTTTTTTTTTTTTGGTAAAGATAGTGTTTTCCTCCCTACAGGGACACAGGTGTGTATCGCCACGCCCAGCTCCTTCTTAGGTAGGGTCTAGCTGTGTTGCTCAGGCCAGCCTTGAGCTCATGATCCTACTGCCTCCTCCCTGAGTCACCACCACACCTGAGCTTTAGGTTAGACTAGGATTTGAACCTGGGCCTCCCATGTGGTCTGGCAGCATGCACACTATGGCTCTGCCTAAATGATTTGATTTGAAATAATAATTTTTAAAAGATTATCAGTATACTTAATCATCCTCGTTAATTTACTGACTCGATATTTTTAGCTAAAAGGAAAGAAATTTATCCTGAAGTAGTTAGAAGTGTAATTCCTTTTAGCCTTTTGGAATTCTTGAAATTCAACATAGTTTGGGGCCGGCTAGGGGCACTGGACTCCCACATGGCCGACTGAGGTTTGAGTCCCAGACCTGGCAGCTTGCTTTCTTACTCCCTCTAGCCCTGTCTCTGTCGCTCTCTGGTCAAATTAAAATAAATAATAAAATAACTCTTAAAAAGAAAATTCTCACTCCCCTACACCCCTCTCACTCTGTCCTCTGGTCAAATTTAAATAAATAAATAAATAATTCTTAAAAAAATTCTCCACACCCCCTTCTCACTCCATTCCTCTCTGATCAAATTTAAATAAATAAATAAAGTTAAATAAAATAATTTTTAAAAATTTAATATAGCTTTAAAGGTAATATTTCAAGGACCCTAGGTTAGAAGGTCTTTCTTATTTTGGTTCAGTTCTTGGCACATTATAATAGATCACTTAATCTACAAATGTGATATAATCATATTCTTTAAAAAATGTATTTCAAATATTCTTACACATATTATTGTTACGTTAGTTTGTTAATGGTTAAAAAAGTTTTAATTCTGTCAGCATAAACTAAATTTGTAACTCTGGCTAGTCACTTACTTTCCTGGAACTGACTTATTTATTGGTAAAACGAGAAATTAGGACTTAGACTTTATTTGTAGTTACACTTGATTGCTAACTGAAATACTACAAATACCGTGCCATTTAAAAAGATAAAATTGTTAGATATGAAGTTTTTTTTTTTTTGAGAGGTTTTTTCACTATAGGGCTTGTGCACTTGCCAGGCAGACAGAGAGACAGAGAGACAGAAAGCGAGAAATCACCCCCCAGGGGGGATGGCCACGTCGCACTCCCTTCTCCGTTCTCCTCTCGGGATCTTGGGCACGCACGCACACGCGCCCGGCATGAGTTTTAAGCCACCAGGTCCAGGATGTGAACCGTGGTCGACTATGTGAGAGTCCAGCGACATAGCCATTACGCTTACTGCTGGTTCTCTAGATACAAAGTTTTAAGAGCTTTGATAAAAAACATAATAAAACTGAAATACAAAATGATTTTCTATAATATAAATTTTGCTTAGATTTTTACTTGATCATTTTGCTCAAGATTTTTAACCTGGTAATTTACCTTTGCCAGATGTAAATTGAGTTCTTGAATTTCAATATAGTTCTATATTAATTTTAGTCAGTATTTGAGTAGGTTATTGCTAAACATTTTTTCTTCCCGTCTTAGGCCCGAAGAGCAGTTCAGAAGAATATGATGTTTATTGATCAAAACAGAGTTATGCTTAAGTATCTCTTCCCTTTGAATGAAATTGTGGTAGATTTTTACGACTCTTTGAAATCCCTGTCGTCTGGATATGCTAGGTAAAAAAATTAATGGGAACTTCAGGTGCCTGGACTTTTAAAAAATACTGACTAGTAAGAATATTTCTAGTATTTCACTAACATGTCACTCATTGGAGATTTCTGCTTTCTTGAAAATAACTGAGAATCTTACCATAAGATTAAAAGGGCCTAGGACAGCTGTATGGGTATGACGGGTACAGATGGTCCCTGACTTTCTGTTGGTTCAACATACAATTTTTTGACTTCACAGTGGCGTCAGATCAATGCACATTTGATAGAAACATACTTTGAGTACTCATACAATTTCACTTCTAGTACAGTATTTAGTATGAGTACTACATGAGATACTGGGTTGGAAAAGTCATGCCATATTTTCCTTTTTTTTTTAATGCAAAAATGCATCATGACTTTTCTGACAACCTAATATTCATGTAGTAGTTCATTCTAAATATAAATTGGCTTTGTGTTAGATGATTTGGCCAAATGTAGGCACCCAAGTGAGTGCATTTAAGGTAGGCTAAGCCAAGCTGTGAGTCAGTAGGTTAGATATATTGAAAGCATTTTCAGCTCAGGAACTTTCATCTTGAAATGGGTTTATCAGAATGTACCCTGTTGTAAGTCTAGGAGCATCTATACTAATTTGTTTACAGGAGAAAAAGTTGCTTTAATTCAACATCAAACCATTACTCCTCTTTTAAAAAAATTGTAGTGCCCTGTTCATTAAGAGAGTTGTATTTCTTTTGACTATTAAGAATTAAACATTTTTTTGGAGGTTTTTGCTATAGGGCATGTGCGCTTATCAGACAAACAGAGACAGAGAGACAGAAAGTGAGAAATCACCCCCCAGGGGGGATGGCCACGCCACAATCCTTTCTCCTCCATTCTCCTCTCAGACTCTTGGGCATGCAGGCACACTCGCCTGGTGTGAGTTTAAGCCACCAGGTCCAGGACTCAAACCGTGGTCGACTACGTGGGAGTCCAGTGACATAGCCATTACACTAACTGCTGGTCCCAAGAATTATACATAATTTCAAAAAGCTGCTTTGACCTTATTGGCACTTTTAAAATATATTTGTACACTTCGTGATCACAGAACAATCTATTACATTTAAAAACAGAAGTACATATTTAGTCTATAAAAATATGTGCTAGGTTTGCCCTGCATTTATGAACACTTTGATAACCTACTCTTCCCCGGAATAAGTGGTCCATGTATTGAAAACCACTGTGTATCCCATATGAGTACATGGAAAACAGCCAGAAGAAAGGAAAATTAATATTAAATAACAAATGAGGAACTCAAGTGTGTAACATTGAAGGAAGCTTTTTTGTTGAGGTCAGTCTTCCTCAATGCACTCCTGAAATCATGTATCACAGGGAAGTATGCACTAGAACATAAAGGAACTATGAAACATATTGTGGGGACCAGCAGTTAGCGTAATGGCTATGTCGCTGGACTCCCACATAGCCAACTGCGGTTCGCATCCTGGACCCAGTGGCTTAAATTCAGGCCGGGTGCGTGTGCTTGCGTGCCCAAGATCCCGAGAGGAGAACGGAGGAGAAGGGATTGCGGCGTGGCCATCCTTCCTGGGGGTGATTTCTCGCTTTTTGTCTCTCTGTCTCTCTCTCTGGTGAGTGCATGCACCCTATAGCAAAAAACCCTCAAAAAAAAAGAAACATTCTGTGGAAGTAAAGGGGAAGAAATTGAACATTCACAACTGCAAAATATATAATGCATGCATATTCAAATTAACAATCAAAGGAAAACTCCCCAAAAAATGAATTTAGTGAAGAGATTTAGGATATATATTGGGTCATCTGAAGAGTCATGATGCATTTTTGCATAGAAAAACACATGACTTTTCTGGGCAACTCAATAGTAACTTTCCTTACAACGAATCATCTTTATATAGTTGTTTGTATTAAAAAATTATTCTTCCTGCTTTGTCACCAGTTTTTTTCTTCTGTTTTTTTTAGACAAAACCTTGAGCAAAGAAGTGATGACAAATTTTAATGTAGCGTGTACCAAGGTGGCATGTTAAGCAGTTACTGTAAAATGATACTATGCTTTGTTTTGTGGGCATTTTTAACAAGTTTGTCAATTGCAGTTTGCATTTGCGTATCACATCCGGAGTTAAGTGGTCTTAAAAATATTTTACCTTGGAAACTTACATACACTTCAAGTTAGCTGGCAGAGAATGGTTTATCTTGAAGCATGTTAAAATAATGTTTTTCGGTTTCCCCAATTAAGATAATTCTTATGTCTAAGATGGAAGTTTTCATATGCAATTAAGTCCATACTTAATGGAAATTCTTCATAGTTCATGGTCTTCCGTTAAGCTATGACCCTCCCATGGTTTGAGATCAAAACTAATTTTTTAAAAAATATTTAACGTCATTTATTATTATTATTTTCTTTTAATTTGACCTGAGTGAGACACAGAAAGAGAGAGAAAGTGGGGAAGGAAGCAAGCCACCAGGTCCGGGACTCGAACCATGCAGAAGTCTAGTGCCTTTAACCACCGTGCCATCCTCCAGCCCTCAAAATTTTATTTTATAGTAAATAGCAAAAATCTACTGCAACAAGGTCAGATTTCTCTTACCAATATATGAGGGCTATAATGTTGTCTATCCATATAGCTGTTTTCCCTCATCCCTTAATGCAAATAACTTTTGGAATTCCAAATGTGTTTCCTCAATTGTAAGGGAACACTAGAATGTCTGTATTTTGAATAGACATTCGATTTCCACTAGGCTGACTTAAAAAGACAGACATTTGTATAATGGTTCCTTTTGAAAAAATGAGCTAAGAAATTCTAAAACTTTTGTACATTGAATATACAAAATGTGGAATTGTAAATAATGTTAGGGACTATGTCTCATTCTTTCTCTGTACTTTGCATAGTACTTAACATGGTATATTTCATATAGTAAATGTTTAATAAGTGATGTTTGCTGAAGAATTTTAGCATGTTAGGTATTAAAGCATATTATTATGTTACTAGCTTTTTGTTGAAAACCTTTAGAAAGTAAACATATTTGCAACTCCAGCCACCAGCTAGCTGTTCCAAACTTAAGACAGAGTATACCTGTTCTTGTCTGTGACCAGAAAAACTTACAAACATAACTGAAAAATTTTGTTAAACTTCAATTTAAACGTTTGGATCAGCATTGTAAGCTTGGTCATGCTGTTAATAGTAACAGCTAAAAGTAGGTGCTATTATGTGCTGGGCAAGCATCTGTTCTAAACACTTATATACCAGGCACTGCGCTAAGCATATCCACAAGTATTCACTCTTAATCTTCACAAAAGGCCTGTGAAGGTTCAAACTTTGAAGAGCCATAGAGAAAACCCAAGAAGTCTCCTTTATTGATGGCTAGTTACCAGTGCCATTGCGTAACAGAAAAACGCAACACAATCCCAACTCAGGAATCCGAGATGACTCAGCCCACCAGCTACTGGGAACCTGGGGGAGTCTAGGACATTGTCCTTGGTGATCTGTCTTCCTAGTCTGATGTCTAGCTTCTTTTCCTTTTCTCCCTGAACATGCCCCCTTGCTTTTCCCATTTCTTAAAAGTACAAAGATGAGGAAGTTTATTGCTGTGAATATTTAGATCTATTTGTTTTTATCATTTATTTTTAATATATATTATTGATCTTATATCTGTATTTATATTAATGTATACATCATAGATTAATATTTAGTAACATGAAAACTGTTACGAGGTTGAATATATATATATATATATATTATGGTGTAACTAAATTATATTTAAAAAAAAATTTTTTTTTTAAGGATTTTTTTGCTGTAGGACATGTGCGCTTGCTGGAAAAACAGAAAGCAATAAGTCACTCCCCAGGGGGATGACCATGCCGCAAACCCTCCTCCTCCATTCTCCTCTCAGGATTTTGGGCACATACGCACACACACCTGACCTGAGTTTCAGGCTGTTGGATCTGAGACTCAGAGTGTGACTAGCCACGTGGGAGTGTAGAGCCTTAACCAGTACACCAAATAGATTTTTAAATGTTCACTTTCTTTTTTTAAGAGAGAGATTTTTGTTTATAGGGTGTGTGCACTCACCAGACAGACAGAGATAGAGACAGAAAGTGGGAAATCACCCCCCTGGTGGATAGCCAAACCACAGTCCCTTCCCCTCCATTCTCCTCTTGTGATCTTGGACATGCAAACAGATGCACCTGGTGTTTTAAGCTGCTGGGTCTGGGGCTCAAACTGTGATCCTGCATGGAAGTCCAGAGACATAACCACTACACATCTGCTGGTCCCAGTTCACTTTTTAAAAATTTCTTCATGAGTGAGAGAAAGAGACAGAGATAGCACCCTGAACAGGATCTTCTTTTCCTGATCCATTCCAGCCTCAGGGAGTCCTAGGTCACAGGCATTCCCATCCCCAATGTGTTCAGGAAGGTCTCTGAATGTGAACTGGGAACTTTCCAATATGGATGAGCCTCACAAAAGTACCGTGTTTCTGTTGTGCTGTTCTTCAGCCCCCTACCATGTGGTATTTTGATGGATAGTTGTATCTTTTGGGGGAGAGCGGGTAGAAAAAAGATACTTGGTAAAGAAAGGAAAAGATAATTTGTGAATTGTAATGTTTATAACTTGGAATTTTTTTCCCTTGTTAAGTTTTGATTACGAAGATGCAGGCTACCAGACAGCAGAACTTGTAAAAATGGATATTCTACTGAATGGAAATATTGTAGAGGAGCTAGTCACTGTTGTACACAAGTAAGTTGAATAGAAATTAATCTTGGAATGTGAATAATCACTTTTGATCATTTTTTCTTTAGTTATTGGTTGTTCAACTTTCAGCAGCTACATTTTAGAACTTCTAAATGTAACTAAAGTAAATTTTACTGCACTAGTTTTTCTTTTATTTTCCACATGGCTAAAAATATAAAAGAAGTAAGTATTATAATAGCTAAGAAAAATAATGGAAGATATGTTTATCTTACCCTGTATATTGAAGCAAATGTTTTTTAATCTTTAACAACAATAGATTTAGGATAGAGGACAATTTTTCTATATTTACAAAAAATTGCAACAAAAGATGTTTCTTCTTACGATGTTTAAGAAGTGGCAGATTGGTTAAAATAAATTGTGAAGCATCCACATATTTATAACTTATTGTTAACATATGTTCTTTATTTTTCTATATACTTGTATATTATTAAATACATACATTTGAAGCCACAAAAATGATCTACTATACAGTGATATTTCATGAGATAGAAAGCTATCTATTAAGTAAGGTAGACTCTATATACTGTGATGTAACTAAAAAAGCTAATATAAAAATGTATTTTTCTCATCTCAGAGACAAAGCACACTCTGTTGGCAAAGCTATATGTGAACGTCTAAAGGATTCTCTTCCTAGGCAGCTGTTTGAGATAGCAGTTCAAGCTGCTATTGGAAGTAAAATCATAGCAAGAGAAACGTAAGTTGAAATTCATTTTTATTCTGGGCTGGTTTTAGAAATAATATGCGTGAAAAACTAAAGAATATTGAAAACTTAATATTAACCTAAGGCTTTATTTTTACTTGTAGAAGGTTTGCTAGTGCTCTCAATTCCACGATTTTAAGTAATGATGACTAACTTTGAATTATGTAACACCACTAGATAATGTTATTGTTAATTACTATAATGTACATAGGTTTGAGGAATTGCTTTTATTTCCATTTATTTACAGTATGACTATATTGAATTTGTATGGGGAATTTCTTCATGGTCTTATCTTTCAGGTAGATTTTAGCTAACAGATACTGAAACTAAAAGATTTTGTCTTCTAAAAACAGGCTCAATTCTGTAGGAAACTAGTCTTTTCATGAACTATAATATGTAAACTGGAACACTGGAAAAGCTGCTGTACTCATAACAGAAAATGCAGGAAGTATCTTATAGCATGTCCCATTTCCTTTCTTTAATGTTTAATAAGACTTCTTGGAAATCAGAAACACCTCCTCAGTTATAGAAAATTGAAAATTACTATTAAATTCTAGCTTAACCCAAACTTAAAAAATTAATAGTGGTAAAAGACAATCAACTTTTTTATACAGACTTGATATAAATTTTATAATTTGCGATGACTTCTTAACATTATTTTGCTTTAGTTCATTATTTAGTTTTTCATGAATAGAGCATTAGGCACAGTGGAATTGATAACCAGGCAGCATTGGAAAGCTCAGAATATGTAACAGTGTTGAACTATTCAAAATAACAGTGATCTTAAATTTTTCCAGAAACACTACAAAAGTAAATTAGTTCATAACTGCTAGAATGGGTATAGTAAATTTATCTTGAGATGGGTTTTTATTGAAGTCTAATCTAATAGTATTTTATCTTCCTAGCTGCTCTACCCACCTTTGGTGGAATTGGTTAACCATTTTCAATTTGATGGCAGTGTTAGTGGGAACAGTATTTTTTTATTGGGGGGGGGGGTATTTTGCTATAGGGCACGGGCACTCACCAGAAAGAGACAGAGAAACAAAAAGCGAGAAATCACCCCCCCGGGGGTGGGGGGGCTGATGAAAATGCCACAGTCCCTTCTCCATTCTCCTCTTAAGATCTTGGGCACGCACGCACACACGCCCAGCGTGAGTTTAAGCCGCCCGGTCCAGGACTTGAACTGCGGTCAACTACATGGGAGTCCAGCAACATAGCCATTATGCTAGCTGCGGGTCCCTGGGGGAACAGTATTTTTAAGTTAAGTCAGAAATAACCTTCCAAAAAACCCTTTTTAATCAAGCTTATATCATGGTCAAATTTTATCTAAGTGAGTCTACCCTTGACTTTTTTTTCTTAACATATATAGATAATCATGGTGAATTTATTTGCTCTGTGCCATGTACATGAAAATACAGTTGCATACGAACTGTCTAATTATTTGCTTATGGCAAGTTTACAAAGGTAATGGCACTATCATTAAACTCATTTAATACAAGAGATTGTTTTTTAAAATAAAGTACCTTTAAATAGTGTAATGAAATTATGAACTTAATCAGAATTTCTCCTTTCACAGTGTGAAAGCCTACAGGAAAAACGTTTTGGCAAAATGTGTACGTATCTAGCTATATTAATTTTGTTATATAGGATGAGCATCCCTAAATTTGATAATCTGAAATGGTCAAAAACCTAAAGCAGAGTGTTGATATGCCACCTGTGGAAAACCCCAGACCCAATCCTATGTTGCAGTTAAAATGGGTAATACAAAAACACTATAAATTGTACATAAGGTGTAATGAAACATAAATGAATTTCATGTTTGGTGTTAAGTACCATTACCCAAGGTAGATCTCATATATATGCAAATATTCCAAAATCCAAAAGATAATCCTGAACAATTCTGGTTCCAAACATTTCAGATAAGGGATACTCATCCTAGATCTCGATATGGGCTTAAAAATCAAAGGGGGGTATACATATATTGGTTTCCATTGTTCGTTTTTATTCATCCTTTATTTCATCTCCCAATCTTCAAGTAGTAAATAGAAAAATTTCAGCTTGACCATTATAATTTGTTCATCTTGATCATATTCTTAAGTATTTTTTCATTTTAGTATTACAGTACTAAGGAAGGGCTTTTTTAAAAATCAGTTATTTCTATGACTTGTAATGTTTTGTTGTGAAAGATTTTGAAGACCATGGCTATGTCTCCTGCACATGCACTTGCCACAAAGACAGACACAGTGAGAAGGAAAGTGAGATGTCACCCCCAGGGGGTATGGCCAGGTCGCAATCCCTTCTCTTCCATTCTCCTCCTGGGATCTTGGAAACATACACGTGCACATGCATCAAGCATGATTTTCAAGTCATCAGGTCTGGAACTCAAACTGCAATTGGTCATGTGGAAGTCAGCGATATAACCACTACACCACTTACTGGTCCAACAATGGCTGTATCTTAGAGGAGAAAAAGTATGGACATTGAAATCTACCCATCCTACATTGCCTTGCCAAAGTTTGCTGTCTTAACAATTAAGAAATCATTCTTAACTCATTAACTGTGTGAAATGAATGATAAATTCTTTTTCTAAATGCATAGTTTAGTTTCTAGTATATTTCTATGATTAAGAGTTTCCATATTAGACTATAGGTATATAATAGAAACTTTCAAGCCTTAAATTAGAATTGACACTGATACGGAGCCAGTGGGTGGTGTGGTGGTTAAAGATGCTGGACTCCTGCATGGCTGACTGTGGTTCAAGTCTTAGACCTGGCAGCTTGCTTTCTAACTTTCACAGTGTCTCTATCTGTCTTTATCTGGTCAAATTAAAACAAATAATAATGATAAATAAAGCTAAATAAAATAATTTAAAAAGTAAGGAACTGAGACTGATTATCCTTCCTGTACATACGTATTATAATACTGGGTTTCTTTGAGGATCTTCATCTCAAAAAAAACCCAAAAATTAAACCCTCTAATTGTTCCTTAGAAGGTGATAAAATTAGAATCTACCTGGAAAGAAATTCCAGGGGTAACTTTGCAGGTGTCTGGTTCATGAATAATAACCCAGTAAGGCTGTTATTATTGTATTGGTGTTTCTATGTAATTATATCAATATTTTCCTTTGGAGTCATTTGGATATTCCATTTTTAAAAAATATTTTTCAGTATGGTGGTGATATTACCCGAAAAATGAAACTTTTGAAGAGACAAGCAGAAGGGAAAAGAAAACTGAGGAAAATCGGCAACATTGAAGTTCCGAAAGATGCTTTTATAAAAGTTCTGAAAACACAATCTGATAGATAATTGGTGGGGAAACATAAAGAATTTTCATAAATTAACAACTGTAATTTTTTTTCATAGTAATTTATATGCTGACAACAATAAAAATTTTTAGACTTGATAGTTACTTTCAGAGTTTTAATAACCAACAGGCTTTTCTTTGAAAGAAAGTAGTAGGTGGACAACAGCTTGGCTTCTGAAACCACATTGCCTACTATCAAATTTTTGCTCCACTCATTCACTAGTAAGTTGGTATTGGCCAAATTACGCTCTGCATTTCAATAAAATTGGGATTATACTACAACCTCTGTAGTTGTTGTGAAGATTAAATGAGGGTTATTAAATATTCAGAAGAATGCATGACACATGGTAAGCACTCAGCAAATTCTACAACTGTTTTGTTTTCATCATATATTTTTTTCCTTACAACACTGAAAGGCCTTATATTTCCGATTCCATCTACTAAGTTTTGTGTCAAACTTGTTAGCTGGATCAGTTTTTCCATTCCATATGAATTACTTATTAATTGAACAGTACACATGCAAATAACATACTATTCACAAATCTCTTGTTTTTGATAAATGTGTTTTATCAGACGTGAACTTGAAACTGAATGGTACATGTAAGTTAAGAGCAGAAACTGTTATTTCTGACATTCAAAATGCATTTGTGTAAAATGGCAGATACATGGTATAGCAGAAGCTGTTATTAATGGTAGCTTAATAATTATTGTCTAAACATAATTAGGGAAACTAAACTTTAGTTAAGTAACTTACTTTAGATCATACAGCCAGTAAATGACTCTGTAACTTGAGAGCTCTTAACTTTTCTTTTACTAAGTCAATGAACAAACCAGAGTACAGATTATATTACAATATAAGAAGATAATTCAGATTTTTTTTTTGTTTTCTACCTTGAATATCAACTGAATGAGGAAAACATCCACTAAGAAAGACTATCAACAATTAATTTTATACTAAGGTTATTAAGAGACAGTGGGGATTTACTCAAAATTATGTGGAAAGGTTAAGTAGGTTGAGATTTAGTCCTAGTCATGTGATTACTCAGCTCATACCCTCTCTCTCCCTTCTAGCTGACAGAATAGAGATGAAATTTGCTACACCATGACAATAGTACTTTTGAAAAATGGTAGGATATTTGGAACTAGAAAAATGCTACCGTTACTACCAAGGGAAAGCTACAACTTGGTACCTGGCACATTGTGTGTTGGTATTTAATATTTGTTTGTTTTATTTGGACAAATTTTATCCTCTTAACCTGTGACTCTAGGAAACAGTTTTACTTGTATTAATGATACAAAAAAGCACTTACCAATTTTTTAGCACAATTTTAGTGTCTCTCCCATGACCACTTTGTCAAGTCACATGATTTTAGTGATTTGGAGTTATGGGCTTCCTAAGTGTGTTCTGCCAGAGACCTTCAATTACTGAGATTTTAGCAAACGGTGAGATGTTTCAACAGTGGTACCGTAAATGTGTCTGCCACTGTACTGGTCGATAGTATAAGCTTCCCTCATGTAGAGGGAAATCTAGGCTGCAGAGGCAAATCTAGACTGATTTACTGCCCCAGGTCACAGGTAGGACTCAGTCATTTCTTTCTTCAAATGACATTTTTTTTTTTACATAATAGGCACTTAATTTTATTTGAAATTAATACATTTAAAATATTTCATTTTATTTATTTATTTTAATTTGATTAGAGAGAGACGGGGGGAAAGTGAGAAAGCAAGCCATCAGGTCTGGGACTTGAACCATGGTTGGCCATGTGGGACTGTCCAGCATCTTAACCACCATGTCACTTGTTGGTTCCTAAATTCATACATTTTTTTAATTTCAATTAATTTATTCAAATGGCATCTCTTAACTAACATGCTTTATTCTCTCTTGAGAAATGGCTATAGTAGGTTTCTTGGTTCTTTAACAGCAGCTTTGGTCCTGAGTTCAAGTGGCCAGAGCAGTTGCTGAGGAGCCTGACATAAACTAATCATGGACCTGAGCTAGTCTTCTAACATCAAACACACAGAAACAACTGGTAAACTGAACCAAAGGGATACCTTTAGCTTTTCACTGCGATACCAAATGGGTAGTTTGCAATAAATAATTCCTACTAACTAAAGTGTGAGTGGAAGATCCTACTGATTCACTCCCATTTAAAAATCACTTATAAGGCTATTAAAATATCGTCTGGAATTAAAGCATTATATTCTACCCTAACAATTTTATTTATTTTTACTTTATTCACTTATTATGTAAATATTCTAAGGAGCTTGACTATAGAACATTTTATTCACGTAGATATGTAAGCAAGGCTTCTCCTACCAGATGGACTTACAAGATATTAAATAGGAAAGGGAACTTTTTTATTCCTCATGGAGCAAGACCGAGAAACTAGAGGCAGAGACATTGTCTTTGAACTTAAATCTCCTAATTTTATGTTGGCAACAAATCAAAATAAATGCAGGCTGACACACATTTACTAATTGAAATCTCTCAAATGCAACATTCTTCATTATCAATTCCGGAATACAATTTAGATTAACTTATTATAAGCTTTGAATTAAAGACTGAGAACAAGTTATGGCAATCTTAAAGTTTACAGTATATTTTTTTTTTTAAGAAGTTTTTGCTATAGGGCATGTGCACTCGCCAGAAAGAGACAGACAGAAAGCAAGAAATCGCCCCCCAGGGAGGATAGATGCCGCAATCCCTTCTCCTCCATTCTCCTCTTGGGATCTTGGGCATGCACGCACATGCGCCCGGCCTGAGTTTAAGCCACTGTGTCCGGGACTCAAACCGCAGTTGACTAAAAGGGAGTCCAGCAACATAGCCATTATGCCATCTGCTGGTCCCTGTTGACAGTAAATTTTAAAAGATATTTGATATCCTTTAGACATATATATATGTGTGTGTGTGTGTATATATGGAATAATGCTAATTTATTAATTTAACAATCAGAAAATATTCTTTAAAAATTTCCTTAAGTGTGTTGCTAGGTATAAAGCTCATAATTGCCAAGATACTTATATTAAGGGCATGAACCCTAGTCATTAAAAATAACATATTTGTAAAAAAGTGCTATAGAAGGTGCACAAAAATCATGCACTTATACATATTTTCCAAAAGGATGTAAACTGTACTTTTAGGCACGATCATCTCTTCAAAATTCCTTTACCAACAACATAGAGCATGACTTATGTTGTGCAGGTGTTACTGCCAGAGATACTAAGGCAACCACGTGCAGAAAAGCCAATGTATAATGCACAGGAAATATGAAGACAGCATTCCTAAAGCAAAGGATTGTAGTGGTAGTTCTTTGATAGCTGAAAGGCTTGGAGTGTCCTCTTGTAATTTAAGACATAAAAATCCAGGTGTGCCACTGGAATCACGTCACAAATGATACCTGATGTATATACAGCCTTCCCCCTTCAAGTAGGCAGACATTTCACTTCTGTGCCGTTTCAGAGGTGGCTATGTGGCTTCTGAACTATATAAAATGACAGCCAATCCATCTGGACAGCCAGCTACTTCCTTTATATCCTAGTATAAAATAGACACATTCTAAAAATGGAATGTTTAACATAGACACTGGACTTTTAAAATGACAATCTTTAAAATTGCCCATGATTTATCATACTGCATAGCTGAAAATTCATCTACTAAATATAAGAGTGTTCTGTTCATTCAAGCAGAATTTTGCTCCAATCTCCTTCAATTTCCTTCTTTCATACTGTGTAGTGGATCCACAAGTTTATTGTGCACATGCATTAAACCTTAAAGAAAAAAAGTACAGGTCTAGTTGTGGTTTTGTTCATTTTGAGCTATCTCATTACTTCAGAAAACAAGACTTATATTCAGTGTATTTGGTTCCCATCTTAGACAAAATAGTCACGTTTATTGAAAAATGCAAACAGAACAGTTTCAGAATGTTTAGTTTTAATTGCCTAGCAAAATCACCGTACAGTTACTTACAAAACAGTGTATATCTAAAAGGTGTATGGATACTTAGGAAGATAACCAGAAGTAGGAATAGTTCTTGTCTTCAGAGAGCTTCAATATGCTGAGGTAAGACATTTGAATACTAACTTGGTTAACACATTTTAATTACATCTAAAAGTCTATGTCAATTTGGATCCTGTAGCAATTCTTCTACTACAGTGAAGGGTCCAAGACTGCTGGTACATGAGGGTAACTTTAGTTCTCCAGTATATTTCCTCATCCATTCATCTGGCAAATTATTTTCTGCTATTCTGGTAAGTGCTTTATGGTAATGGTAGATTATACACTATTTCACATTAAGGAAGCTTCGCTAAAACAATAGCAGAAAGCCTATTTCAAATAATTTAGAGTAGAAATTTAGTGTTTGTTTGTTTTTAGTATTTGCTATAGGGCGTGTGTCTGTGCTCGGCAGAGACAGAAAGTAAGCAGTCACCCTACGGGGAGGATGGCCATGCCACAATCCCTTCTCCATTCTCCTGGGATTTTGGACATGCACACACACACATGGCCTGGCATCAGTTTCAATATGTTGCTGGGTTTGGGACTCAAACTGGGTCCACTATGTGAGAGTCTAGCACCTTAACCACTATGCCACCTGCTGGCCCCAGAATTTAGATTTTTTTTTTTTTTGAGAGGTTTTTGCTATAGGGTGCATATGCTTCCCAGAGAGACAGAAAGTGAGAAATCACCCCCCCAAACACAGGGGGATGGCCACGCTGCAATCCCTTCTCCGTTCTCTCAGGATCTTGGACATGTACACACACATGCCTGGCATGATTTTAAGCCACTGGGTCTGGAACTCAAACCGCAGTCGACTACATGGAAGCCCAATAACACAGCCATTACACCAACTGCTGGCCCCAGAATTTAGATTTTTAATTTAAATTTCATTTTATAATTGGTATGTAGGGTGAGAAATTTCAATTCTAAATTTTAGACTTTAAATTTAATTTTATGTTATGTATGCTTATAAGTTGTTTTTACCTATTAAAATTTATTGGGAAATAACTTATATTCTAGTTAATCAAAAAAGTTTTTAATAAATTTTTGCTATAGGACATGTGTGCTTGCTGTAGAGACAGACAGGGAGTGAGTGTGAAATCATCCCCTGGGGGAATGGCCATGCCGCAATCCCTTCTCCTCCATTCTCCTCTTGGGATCTTGGGCACACATGCACATGTGTCAGTGTGCATTTAAGACACAGGGTCCAGGACTTGAACTGCAGTCACCTACATGGGAGTCCAGCAATATAACCATTATGCCATCTGCTGGTCCCAATCAAATGTCTTAAAACATTGTACTATTATGTCTGAAAAAAGTTCTAAAGAATGTCTTTAAAACTTTTAATTCAAATTTTATATTTTGGAAGCTAAAGAAATACGTTAAATTTTTCATGTTATCAGTATGGAAGCTGTAAAATGGCACTCTTAAAAAATGAAATTACACACTTAAGATTACTAGAATAAAACAAATTCCCAAGTATTAAAACTTGTTTTCTGTGACTAACTTATCACTTTCAAAAGGTATATGCTGAAATAAACTTCCATTCACTAATAGTTCCTATTGTCTTTGAGCTAGTAAACCTAGTTCTTCCTTAGGAATGAATTGAGAACACTTTAAAATATTTCTGTTGGTGCTTTTTAGTGGTAACAGAAGAAAGGATACTGACATGAATGGTATTTGAAAAATTACACATAAGTACATGATTTGTATCCAGTATTTTGATGTCATAAAATAGTGACCCAATGAAGATGTGCCAATTATACAAATTAATGAATACAGAATTACCCTATTTCAAAAAATCTTACTGTAAAATAAGGCTTACTTAATTGCCTAGAGTAACACCTCGGTTCCTTATTGAAGGAAGATCCTGACAGTCTGGTGTCTAAAGCCTCGTCAGAAATATGTGCGTCTCCAGCGTGTCCTCTTTAGGCAATTCAGAAATCCAGTTCAGTAATCATGAACAGCCTTTGCTTTTACATGTCACAGAAGAGCTTAGAATTCAATGGGAACCAGCAGTTAGCGTAATGACTATGTCGCTGGACTCCCATGTAGTCGACTGTGGTTCGCGATCCGGACCCGGTGGCTTAAAGCTCACGCCAGGCGCGTGTGCGTGCGTGGCCAAGATCCTGAGAGGAGAATGGAGGAGAAGGGATTACGGCGTGACCATCTGCCCTGGGGGGTGATTTCTCGCTTTCTGTCTCTCTGTCTTTCTGGCGAGTGCACGTACCCTATAGCAAAAACCTCTCCAAAAAAAAAAAAAAAAACAAAAAAAACAGTCCAAAAGCTCTCTCCTACCTACAACTTACTACTGTTTGTTAAATTACAAAGAAGCTAACAATTTTTCTGATTAGGTGGATATATTTGGTAAGCAAATGAGTAAATGATAAAAATATAAATGATGAAATATTATGAACAAAAATATTTAAATTATGATCATCTACATGACTATGTATTCATAAAAATGTTTTAGAATATTTAGTGAAACAGGAAAATGCTTACCACACGTAACTACAAAACTATATAGACGACATTAAAAATTTAAAACTATGTTTGCAGTGTATGGTAAACTTTAGTCATATATGTTCTAGATTTTTGCCATATTCACATATTTACATGAACTGTGAGATACTGGTTTCCTTTATATTGACTGATAATTTTTTTTTTTGGGGGGGAGAGGTTTTTGCCATATGGCACGTGCGCTCACCAGACAGACAGAGAGACAGAAAGCGAGAAATCACCCCCCAGGGGGGATGGTCACGCCGCAATCCCTTCTCCTCCATTCTCCTCTCGGGATCTTGGGCACGCACACATACGCGCCCAGCATGAGTTTTTAAGCCACCGGGTCCGGGACGCGAACTGTGGTCGACTACATGGGAGTCTAGCGACATAGCCATTACACTAACTGCTCGTCCCTTGACTGATAATTTTTTGTTGTTGTTTCACCCTAGAGTGCATGCTCACAGGAGATAAGAGAAAAAGTGAGAAATCACCTCCCCCTGGGGTAGGGAGGCGGGATGGCCACATTGCAATCCCTTCTCTTCCATTTTCTTCTTGGGATTTTGGGTGCACACATGGCTGGTGAGACTTTTAAGCCACCAGGTCCAGAATTTGCACCATGCAGCCAGCTATGTGGGAATTCAGTGTCTTAACCAGCATGCCACCTGTTGGCCCTGACATAACTTTTAAGATCACATATTATATTTCTGAATGTGAGATGCTGTAGACTGTAAGATACACCATTATTTTAAATAACACTAAGAAAAAAATGCTACCAGATGAGGTAAAATGTGACACCAATTTAAGCCACATCCCAGTTTTATAGAAGATCAGTATGTCATAAGGTAGTAACAAATGGTAGCTCTTTAAACCTTGTCTAAGCAATGACAGCCATAAAACACAGGCTTAGGACCAACAGATGTTACATTGCTGGCCCCCCACGTAGTTGACCACAGTTCGAGTCCTGGACCTGGTGGCTTAAACACATGCTGGGCATGTGTGTGTGCCTGCCCAAGATCCCAAGAGGAAAATGTAGAAGGGATTATAGCATGGCCCTTCCCCCTTGGGGATGATTTCTCGATTTCTGTGTCTCTGTCAAGTGCACACATCCTATAGCAAAAATCTGATAAAAAAAAAAACCCACAGGTTTAATTTGTTCAGTATGTTTTTCCAATACGTGTTAAATATTTAGTTACTAGGGTAAAAAAATTAAAAATACACTGTATATAATAGAAGAGATATACTTTATGTAATAGAAGTTGCATACATATTACACTTTGTGATCTCTCCGTATGACCAATTATGTAATTGTTGTATCAGCCATATAAATACAGGTGTTTTATAAAAAATACCTATTTAGGGACCAGCAGGTGGTGTGGTGGTTAAGGCACTGGACACTTCTACATGGCCAACAACGGTTCAAGTCCTGGACCTGGTGGCTTGCTTTCTCACTTTCTTCTCTCTCTCTCTCTGTGTGTGTGTCTCTCTGTTCCAATTAAAATGAATGAAGAAATAAATAAATATTTTTAAAAAAATACCTATTAAAAGAGTTTATTTGTGTGTATGTGTTGTTTATACACAGAGTTGACCCTTAATTAGAGAATGGGTTCTAAATTGAGCATGGTCAAACTATCTCTTGAAAATCTCTTAAACCACTCATTTCATCGAGCATATGTGGTTTCATTGTTTTTGTTTTCTTTATAATATACACAAACCTGATAAAGTTTAAGAACTGCTGAACAAGACTACAGGAAAAAATAAAATCAACATATAGAGATCTCGGCAGTCAGACTCCTATTTACTTGCAGAATTTATCCCACACTCTTCTAATATTTAGCCACTATAATTCCAATATTTGGGAATAGATTTGTTTGAAATTGTGAATATTAAATGAAAACTGTGGAGATACATCTTATCCACTGATTATATTCTAAAAGGTTAAGGGGACAGAGGTTGAGGTGGGACTGGTAAACATGAAAACCAGAGCAAACATAAATTTCCTTTAGGGTTATTTAATCTTACATATTTGATATAAAAGTATTTTTATTAGATTTTGGATAAAAAACAAAACAAAACCTGTTTACTGAAAATAGAGACTGAAGAGATTCTTCTCATGAAAAAATAACAGGTAACTTCTCTGAAAGCTATTATCCGAAGTGAGAAGTTTGTATTCCTTCAAAAAAACTGGCTACTGTCTCCACACCAGGCCTCTGTCCAGTAGGCCACAGTATAGGACTCAACTCCACGACCATACTAAATTTCGTTCCCTACAACAGAGCATCTCACAGTCTGCTTTTGAAATTCAGTGCTCACCTTTAAAGTATTTCACAGTTTTAACTCTTAATTCTAAGGTAGCATCTTCATCACATACAAAAATAGTTCGGGGGTGCTGCTGGAAAGCTGAAACAGTCCACATGTGATTGACCCCTTCTTCGATCGCTTTGTACAGGGCAAAGGCCTTGTGTGCACCTGTAATGAGGATCATCACCTGCAAAGCCATGAACACACATTCATAGTTAAAACACGTTCCAAATGAGTAAGAAGCTGTCTTTTTGTTAAAAAGGACTTTAGCACCAATATTGTAGTGAGAAAATAAACATTCCACATATTTCTATATAATTCTGCCTTTTTCCCCCCCCCCCCTTTTTTTTTTAAGGTTTTCGCTGTAGGGCATGTGCACTCACCTGAGAGAGGCAGAGAAAGAAAGTGACAAATCATCCCCTGGGGAAAATGACCATTCCACACTCCCTTCTCCACTCTCCTCTTGGGATTTTGGGTCTGCACACATTCACACCCCACGATTTTCCAGCAGCCAGGTCCGTGACTCAAACCACAACTGCCCACATGGGAGTCCAGTGCCTCAACTACCACGCCATCTTCTGGCCCCTATTTCTACTTTTTAAGGTAACAGGCAAGCACAAACTGTTGCTTCTGGTTTAACAAAACAAAGTATCTTATGACAAATTAATAAATACACAATTATACCAATGATCATAAACCCGCAAAAGAGACTGGGAAGAATGAAGGAAACTAAATATAAGGGCAGTCCTGCAAAAGCAGAATTGTAGGTCTTCAAACAATTGACATAATAGGCAATGAAAACACCCTGTTCTAAATAAATAATAGAGGTCATTTCAGAGAAGCACAAAGACTCTAAAACAACAGAGAGTAACCTAGAGAAGACTATGATCATTTTATTGAATATCCTATATAAAGTCTTGAAACAAAAACCTGGACTTAAATGATTAGGAATCTACTTCACAGGAGCTGCCTTTTTTTTTTTTAAAGGTATTGCTTTGTCTCAGGGTGTGTGTACTCCCTGGAGAGAGAAAGAAACAATAAGAGGAAATGTAAATCATCCCCTAGGGGAGATGGCCACACTGCAATCCCTTCTCCTCCATTCTCCCTCTGGGATTTTGGGTATGCATGTATATGCACCCAGTGTGATTTTCAAGTCACCAGGTCCAGGACTTCAACTGGAGTCAATCATGTGGGCCCAGCACCTTAACTACACCACCTGCTGGTCCCCAGGAGCTGCCTTTTAAACATATATGACTGATATTACCCTTATTACTCCCAAATCCCTAACTGCCTATGAAATAATGTAATTCAAAGAACAAGTGCAAGTGTGAGAATATATGTGTCTGAATACTTTATCACTCTTTAGCAGTAAACTGATTCCATTTTACAACTCAAACTATGCACATAAGTTTATGTCATGAAATAAATGTTTAAACATAATTTTTCCTTATTAATGCTGTTAAAATGTGGTTAAAGTGCCTAATTCTAAAATATGTAAAGTGACACAAGTTTTGTATTGAATATTTTATAACTAGATCTTCTAAAATGGGAGAAAATAAAAGATTAATGGACCAAGACATTGCATTGCTTTAAAAACAAAAAACAAAACATGATTCACTATGTAATTTTCATTCCGATGCTACCTCTTGATGAAAATCAAAGCACAAGGGGACCAGCAGGTGGCATGATGGTTAAGGAGCTGGACTCCAACACAGCCAGCTACAGTTCAAGTTCCAGACCTGGTAGCTTGAAAAATCACACCAGGCCATGTGTGCATGCATGCCACAAAATCCCAAGAGGAGAACAGAAGAGAAGGGACTGCAGTGTGGCTATGCCCCTTCTGGGGTGATTTCTCACTTTCCACTTTCTCTTTCATTGTCTCTGTCTCTCTGGTGAGCACACATGCCCTATGACAAAAACAAACAAAAAGCACGTAAAGGCATTAAGATATGTATAAATTACATTAAATTCTTACTGACACTTTTTTTTTCTTTTGGACAGGTTTTTGCTATAGGGCGCATGGGCTCGCCAGACAGAGAGAGAGAGAGACAGAGATAGAAAGTGAGAAATCACACCCCAGGGGGGATGGACACGCCGCAATCCCTTCTCCTCCATTTTCCTCTTGGGATCTTGGGCATGCATGCACATGTGCCTGGCGTGAGTTTAAGCCAGCAGGTCCAGGACTTTGAACCGTGGTTGGCTAAATGGGAGTTCAGTGACATAGCCTTTACGCTAACTGCTGGTCCCAACACTTTTTGTTTTTGAGTACCTAGAGTCAGCAAAAACTTTAATATACTATTACTTATGTAAGTATTCATTTTTTATAAAGAGATTTCTGCTATAAGGTGAGTGTGTTTGCTGGAGAGAGACAGAGACAGTGAGAGGGAAATTTAGAAATCATCCCCCAGGGCAAATGGCCATACCACAATCTCTTCTCCTCCATTTTCCTCCTGGGATTTTGGGCCTGGCATGATTTTCAAGGCATCAAATCTGGGACTCAAATTGTGGTTGGCCCTGTGGGAGTCAGTGCCTTAACCACTATGCCACCTGCTGGCTCCCATATTGCATATCTTTTTTTATGTCAAACAAGGACAGATTTCTATTTGTGATGGAGTAACAGGAAATCAGAGTTACTTAGACAATAAACTGAATACTGTTTTTGAAAACAGGGTAAAGAGGGACGATACCATTATTTAGGATGGATTTGCAATAATCCTAAAAAAAAAAACTGACAGACATGAATTAAGGGGGTTGTAATGAGGTCTGGACACTTATCTACACAGCTTATCTGTTATATGGTTCATACCTGGTGTCTGATTAGAAAAGAGGAGAAAACTGAGAATGACACAAATGTTTCAAGCTCAGTTAATTTTCATCAGAGTACTGCTATTCATTACGAGAATATTTAGGAGACAGACAATTGTGGCAGGAAGATGAATTTAAATTTTGAATAGCATTAATTCAAGAAAGTCTTTAAACATCTAGATGACAGAAGGCAGTTGGAAATGTGGAACTCACATCGGTAGCTAATGGGATACTATTATTATATATATATTTTACATATATATAGAATGCCATATATAGTGTGTGTGTGTATATATATATTATATATATATATATATACACATATTATATATATAAAGCCATGATGCATTTCTGCATAGAAAATATATGACTTTCCTGATGTTGAGAGTAATTGGTACTTCTGAAATAGCAATAACAGGAAGAAAAATGACCATTACTGACTGATGTGACAGGTTTGGTTAAAAATGGCTGGGGCCAGCTGGTGGCGTGGTGGCTAAGGTGGCTAGACCCCACATGGCCTACTGTATGATTCAACTCTTGAACCTGGCAGGTTGAGAAAGACACTGGGCATGTGTGCATGCATGTTCCCGAAAATTCCAAAAGGAGAAATGAAGGAACTGTGTTGTGACCGTCCCCTATGGGGGGTTCTTTCTCACTTTACCTCTCTCTCTAACCTGTGCATGTGCCCTCTAGCCTCCCCCAAAGGAATCATGAAGAAGACTGCCCAAAAGGACAGAGTGAATCTACTAGGATGAGGCTATAGGAAGAGTAACGTTCTAGAGGCAGATTAAGAAAAAAATCAGGGAAGCTGACTGAGAAGGAATGGTCAGAAAGGAAGAAAGTAAAGGCTGAATTTATATTGACAGAATGATGAATAGTAACCGATGTCGAAAGAGGCTCTATAGGAAGAGTTTTGCACAGAAGACGCTAGTCTTGAGCAATTAAGTTACTATTGACCTCAATAACTTTCAGGAAGGCAATAAAAAGTAGATTTTTCAATTGTATTCATTTTTTCTTAAGTCATCAGAATAAAAATTCAAATTATTACAATTATGGTCATGTGCTGTATGACATTTAGGGCAGTGATGGACCAAAGGGTGGTCCTATAAGATGACTATAACGCAGGTGGAAAATCCCTATTACCTAGTGACATCACAGCTGCTATTAACATCACTGTCACAACGTATTACCTGTGTGTGTTGATGTTGTTATAAACAAATCCACTGTCCTGCCAATCACAAAAAAAGTGTAGTGCACACAATAAAGCACAGTACATAATACTTCATAACTACAAAAAAAAATCTGTTACTGATTGTGACCTGGTGCAGACATAGGATAATGTGTGTTTGTGTTTTAGTTTTTAACAAAAAAGTTTAAGAAGTTAAAAAAAAAAACAAAACATTAATTAGAAGAAAGCTTACATAAAAAAATTTTTTTTTTGTATACAGAAGTACTACGTGTTTTTGTTTTAAGTTAGTATTAGGTTGTCAGGATGGTCATAATGTGTTTTTCTATGCAAAAAATGCATCATGACTTTCCAGATGAGTCGATATGATTACAAAAGAATCAAAAAGTAAAAAGAAAAAGAAATACGTTTATAAGATAAAAAAATTCAGGGAACCAGCAGTTAGTGTAATGGCTATGTCGCTGGACTCCCACGTAGTCGACCGTGGTTCGCATCCCGGACCCGGTGGCTTAAAACTCACGCCAGGCGCGTGTGTGTGCGCGTGCCCAAGATCCCGAGAGGAGAATGGAGAAGGGATTGCGGTGTGACCATTCCCCCTAGGGGGTGATTTCTCACTTTCTGTCTCTATGTCTTTCTCTGTCTGTCTGGCGAGTGCAAGCGCCCTATGGTGAAAACTTCTCCCCCCTAAAAAAAAAAGATAAAAAATTCACAGTAAGCTAATGTTTGCTTATTTAAAATTTTGCTATAGGGCATGGTGCTTGCCAGAGAATGAGAGGGAAAGTGAGAAATTACCCCCCAAGGGGACTGCCACACTGTAATTCCTTCTCCATTCTTGTCGTAGGATTCTGGGCACAAATGTATGCACCTAGTGTGTTTTTCAAGCCACTGGGTCTGGGACTCAAACCATGCAATCGGCTGTGTGGGATCCAGATACCTTAACTTATGTGCCACCTGCTGGCCTTTAATTTTTCTAAGTGAAGAAAAATAATTTCTTAAAATAAATTTACTGTAGCCTAAGTATATACTGGTTATAAAGTCTATAGTAATGTATGATAATGTCCTAGGACTTCACATTCACTTACCACTCATTAATTCACCCAGAACAATTTCTAGTCTTGTAAGCGTCATTCATAAGTGCCCTATACAAGTATACCATTTTTTATCTTTTACACTTTATTTTTATGTACCTTTTCTATGCTTAGATATGCTTTAAAGCACAAGTACCTACGCACTGAGTTATAATTGCCTAGAGTATTCAGTACAGTAATTAGTTGTACAGGTTAGTAGCCTAGGAGCAACAGGCTATCCTAGGGGTGTGGTGGGCTGTATCATTTAGGCTTGTGCAATGACAAAAATCACCCAGTGACATAATTCTCAAAATATAGTCTCATCATTAAGTGATACATTGCTATATATACAAAAATTCTAAAGAAGTTGCAATAGTTAAAATGGGTTTTATCTTTTTTCTTGGAATTACCTTCAAAATATTCAACATTATCTTGAACTCATTACCTTCAAAATATTCAGCATTATCTTTAACACAAAAAGACAAATTTCCTTCATTTAATTTAGCGAGATTTTTGCTATAAGACGCATGTGCTCGCCAGAGAGAGACAGAGAAACAGAAAGTGAGAAAGCACCTCCCAAGGGGAGTGGCCACACTGCAGTTCCTTCTCCTCTATTTTTTTCTTGGGATATCGGGGTATAGAGGGGCAGGCAGGCTTTAACTTTTAAGTCGCTGGGGCTAGGACTCAACCAGGGTCGACTACATGGGAGTCCAGGGATGTAACCATTACACCATCTGCTGGTCCCAAAAGAGGAGTTTTAATCCTCTGAGGGTATACCTGACGTTTGGAAAACAGTTCTGGTGGCTCAGATAAATATCAAAGGTGTAGGTTAGGTCAATACAATCCAAATGGATTGTGCAAATTATTTATTCAAACTATTCTCTGGTATTCGATACCTATCACATGACAGGCAGTGTTAGGTGCTAAATATACATCACCCTTAAACTCAGAGGTTGTAAGTTAGTGAGAAAACAGATAATGATCAAGTAAACAAATTAAAATAATTATAAAACACTACAAAGGGAAACAGCAGTGATATGAAAATTAGAGAAAATAATTTTGATTATGAGGATAATGATTAAGAAAAGGAGCTCTTAAAATTGGCAAGCTTGAAGGTACAGTGATAGCCAAGAAAGGGGCTGAAAATTACAGCATTTCAGATATGTGAGACCTCAAGTCAAGGAAAGAGTCTGGTAACAGGCTAATGGTTAATAGCATGAGATTCCTTATCTAGTTGACAATTCTAAAGTCTTAAGGAAAAGTTCCAAAATATGTATGAATGATCCTAATTTTATGAGTAGCCAAAATGTAAAGATATGTATTAATAAATGATTAAAATGATAGTTCCCTACTTAAACCTTTCTATTTAGCAGCAGCATCTGCCCACACATGGATTCAAGATGTAATGACGTATATGCTATTAAAGAAAGTGGCCTGGTTGTTATGGCACTGGATCCTGCATAGCGGAGTGCATGATTTGAGTTCTAGACCTAGCAGCTTGAAAAACACACTGGGCACAGAGGTGCACATACCCACAATCCCAGAAGGAGAGTGGAGGAGAAGGGATTACAGTGTGGCTGATTTCTCATTTTCCTTCTCTGTCTCTCCTGGTCACTCTCGGGTGAGCACACATGCCCTATGGTAAAATCTAAAAAAAGAAGAAAGAAAACAACACTGAAGAACAGCTCATATCACAGTAAAAATCACTAGCAAAAAGAATCTGTATAAACCTATAATGGCTAGTTATCCTTGTCTGAAAATCACCTGAGGGTAAATAGTCATTTCTGAGGCTTGAGGACTTGGCCCATGCATTTAGAGGAACTCCATGTTTTGTGTGGGATCAAATCGAATGGACTTCGCAGGGAATTGTTTGTGCCCTGTTGAGACCCTTAGTCTAGAACATCATCCATCTGAAATTTGAAAAGCACAGGTCCGGTCACCCTGTTAATGCTCTAGTCTATTGGTTGAAGGCTCTGAGGCTGTATGAGGTGGCAGAAATAGGCAAATAGCTAAGATTTGGTTTATGCTTTTACTGTGGAATAAAAGAGTGCTTGTCATAGAAATAAAATAATAAAAAGAAACCAATCTGTATAGATTAAGGCCATTATAAGTGAGAATAAGAAAATCAAATGTATGAGAGCATGATACTTGTTTCAGAAGAATACTGTAAAAAATCCAAACACTAAAATAGATCCTTGGGAAAATTATGAAGCCCTTTACTACTTCCGCTGACAATTATCTTTATAGTCAGGCTGAGAACACATTCTGTTAAAAGAGAGGAACCATACCTTACCTTTGATTTGAAAGAGATATTTTTGTTACAGGGTGTGTGTGCTGGCCGGAGAGACAGAGAGACAAAGAGACAGACAGTGAGAAATCACTGCCCAGGGGATGGCCATGCTGCAATCCCTTCTTCTCCATTCTCTCAGGATTCTGGGTACACATGCACCCAGCATGAGTTTGAGGTCACCAGGTCCGGGACTCAAACCATGGTCAACTATGTGGGAGTTTAGCCCATGCATTTACATAACCATTACACCATCTGCTGACTCCATTGTACCTTTTTTGAAAAAACTGATAAGTTTTTGAATAATTAACTATTTATTCTAAAAATTAGCCGAAGAGGTGTATTAAAACGTCAATCTTGTTAAAGGTAAAAAACAAAAACAAAAACAAACAAACAAACAAACAAAAAAAACCCCACCTATTTGTACAAGATAAGTTCTTTATTTTAGAATTAAGATTGTTCAGGGACCAGCAGTTAGCGTAATGGCTATGTCGCTGGACTCCCACGTAGTTGACCGCGGTTCGAGTCCCGGACTCAATGGCTTAAACTCATGCCAGGCGTGTGTGCGTGTGTGCCCAAGATCCCAAGAGGAGAATGGAGAACAGATTGCAGCGTGGCCATCCCCCGGGGGAGTCATTTCTTGCTTTCTGTCTCTCTGTCTCTGTGTGTCTGGCGAGCGGACGCACCTATAGCAAAAACCTCTCCAAAGGAAAAAAAAAAAAAAGAATTAAGATTGTTCTAAAATTCTTTTCTTAAAATTTATTTACTATTAAATTGTAGTCCTTGTTAAAGGTCTTTTTTTCATGTACCAATGGTGTTTTTAGATAATGAGAAACCTCTATAGTTTAAGTAACAGTGATATTTGTATATTCAGGTCTCGATATAAATGTATCAAAATCTGTTGTTACTTTTTCTTACTCTTTCCTCTGAATCTGTGTAATGCTGCTACCAGAAAGAAATGGAATTCTGGGTTACCATATCATTTAACTACTTTTAATCATGAACTGACTATAATTTTCTCTAGGAAAGAAATGACTGCCCAATTGAAAACTTGAAAATCAGGCAAGGACTAATGGTTCAAAGCTCTTGCATTCTCAAATATACCAAATTTTGAACAGATCTAATCCAAGATGGCTTTCCTTTTCTGCTGGAAGAAAACTGGTCTATCATTCTATATGTATAGTCAAGAAATAATTTACACTAAGTTGTCCTGAAGCTCCAAAAGTAGTGTACTATAGCCAGTATTGATTGCATCTTTGTACGACAGTCCTTTCACAAGATGATTTCAATTAAAAACAAACCACATAATCAGTGAGACTGTAGAAACGCAAAGTGTGAAGCAAGAATAAGCAGGCAATGCAGTACCTCAAAAGACATGGAGCCTAGATGGGACCAGCAGTTAGCGTAATGGCTTTGTCGCTGGACTCCCACGTAGTTGACTGCGGTTCACGTTCCGGACCCGGTGGCTTAAAACTCACGCTGGGCGTGTGTGCGTGCGTGCCCAAAATCCTGAGAGGAGAATGGAGAAGGGATTGCAGCGTGACCATCTCCCCTAGGGGGTGATTTCTCACTGTCTCTGTCTCTGGCTGGCTGGCTAGCGCACGTGCCATATAGCAAAAACCTCTCCAAAAAAAAAAAAAAAGACATGGAGCCTAAATCTTAGTTTAAAGCTTAGAAAGACTTCATTAGGTTGATTCCTAAAATGTGTCAATGAAACTGACCATTGAGTTAGTTATTAAAAACTAAAAAATTTATATTGCAAACAGAATATATCCAAAATATCACTTATTCAGCATCACTGTCTCTCCAAAACATAAACATGAGAAGAAAAATATCGAAGAACATGTATTTCTTACTTCTCTAGCATCCATCACTGTTCCCACGCCAACAGTTAGAGCCATAGTTGGCACTTTTGATAAATCTCCATCAAAGTATTTAGCATTTGCCAAAATGGTGTCCATTGCTAAGGTCTTTAATCTTGTCCTCGACACTAAACTGGATCCTGGTTCATTGAAAGCAATATGACCATCCGGACCAATTCCTTTCAAAAGAAATAGACATACAAACACGTACATACATATAATAAATAAGGTTTCTCACATATGTTTCTCAATGTTCAATATGATTTTCACAGTAAAGAAATAATGCTCAATAGACTTACCTTGTTTTATTTTATAGCTAAGCTCTTAATACCACATTAAAATATTTCTATATTTGATTCAACAAATATTTCCACGTTTTTTATATGCTTAGCATTGAGCTATCAATAGAATGATTCTAAGTATTTCTTACCAAAATACTTGGAACTAGAAGGTTTCAGATTTTGAATTTTTTCAGATTTTGGAATATTTCCATGTAGGTAATGAGATATCATGGGGATGGGATATAAGTATAAACAAAAAATTTGTTTATATTTCATATATACCTTGTATGCGTGGCCTGAAGGTAGTTTTATTTTTGTATCATAGTGTTTTTTTTTTTTTTTGAGAGATTTTCACTGAAGGGCGCGTGCGCTTGCCAGACAGACAGAGAAAGACATAGAGACAGAAAGCGAGAAATCACCCCCCAGGGGGGATGGTCACGCCGCAATCCCTTCTCCTCCATTCTCCTCTCGGGATCTTGGGCACGCATGCACATGCGCCCGGCGTGAATTTTAAGCCACCGGGTCCAGGACACGAACCGCGGTTGACTACGTGGGAGTCCAGCGACATAGCCATTACGCTAACTGCTGGTTCCCTGTATCATAGTGTTTTGACTGCAACCAATCACATGAGGCCAGGTGTGGAATTTTCTATTTGTGTGGTGTTGTGTTAGGGCTCATCAAAGTTTCAGATTTTGGAAGTTTTCCAGATTAGGGATGTTCAATCTTAAGCAGTAAAATTAATTATCAATAATATTACTGTAACACTTCAAAGTTTGTAAAACACTTTCAAATATATACTAACATAGATATACTATAACAATCTTCTGAGATATTTCCTTCATCTCTCCCACCTTTTTTTTTTTTTTTGGAGAGGTTTTTGCTATAGGGCGCATGCACTCACTAGAAAGAGAGAGACAGAGAGACAGAAGGCGAGAAATCAATCCCCGGGGGGATGGCCACGCTGCAATCCCATCTCTTCCATTCTCCTCTTGGAATCTTGGGTACGCATGCACATGCACCCGGCGTGAGTTTAAGCCGCCGGGTCCAGGACTCCAACCACAGGCAACTACATGGGAGTCCAGGACATAGCCAGTACGCCATTTACTAGTCCTTCTCCCCTTTTTTTAAAACACACACACACAAAAACCTTGATGCTCAAGGAAACTAACTGAGCTTTTCAAGGTCACAATTTATAGTACTGGAACAAGATTCAAATTTAATCTTCTGATTCCTAACCCAGTGGTCTTATATTCACACTTTAATATACTCAGTGCTAGTCCAGATGGGGCAATTAACTACTGGGCCTTTCTTTCTTTCTTTTTTTTGGAGAGGTTTTTGCTATAGAGAGCGTGCACTCACTAGGTAGACAGAGAGAGACAGAGACAGAAAGCGAGAAATCACCCCCCCAGGGGGGATGGCCACGCCGCAATCCCTTCTCTGTTCTCCTCTCGGGATCTTGGGCACGCACGCACACGCGCCTGGCCTGAGTTTTAAGCCACCGGGTCTGGGACAAGAACCATGGTCGACTTCATGGGAGTCCAGCAACACAGCCATTATGCTAACTGCTGGTCCCTAGTGGGCCTCTTTCTAGTATACTTTTCTCACTTACAAAAATGTGTACTTTGTATGAGATAACATCTAGAGCAGTAGTTTTTTTCAAACTTTTTTGACTGTAACCTATTGTAAAGAATAACATCTGATGCCTCAATCTAGTGTACATTCACACACATACAAAAGATCATTAAAACCAGAACTGCATGAAATCATACTTATCCTTACTAGGAGCCATATAAGCTATGTTCTATAACATTTTACTTCTTTAACAAAACAAACAAAAAGAAATGCTAGATGTGACTGACTATAATGATTTTATGACCTAATTCATTAAGAGATGACAACCACAGTTTAAGAAACACTACTTCCCAGAGACTGACTGCCAACTCTAATATTTTAGGGCTGACTTAAATATAATAGTAATTGGGTACTCCTTATTTAAAGGAAATGTGAGGTAATTCTTTTCATAAAATTAAGATTCTTTCTATAACATAAATAATTCAAGTAGTATACATACACCCTACTGGCTAGTCAGATTTCTGGCAACCTCAGTCAAAATAAACTTGCAAGTTTTCCAATTCATTAAAATATCTTTTAAAAAATAAACATTCACAAAAAAATAAATAAACGTTCTGCATATTTATTTTAATGAAAAGATATGCATATTTTACTGACTCTTAAACTAAAATTCTGACAAAATTTTTCCAAAAGGTAAAATAAGACCAGAAGAAACCATTGGTTTTGGAGGATAAAAGAAATGAATATTCCATAATGCAGATATGGACTACTAAATCATAAGTCTAGCAATTTTTAATGTAAAGATGTAAGACCAGAACTATGTATGTTAATATGAATGGATTATTTTCACTTTTGAGTATAAATCTGCCTTTAAATGCTTTAATTATATAAAATTGTCATAAAAGTCATGACATATTTTTCTACACAAAAGTGTCATGACTTTCTCAGTGAGCCAACAGATATGAATTTTTCTCTAGATTTGTGAAAATGATCTGTTTTTCCTTTTAGGTATGCATATATCCAACATTTATATTTTTCTATATATGTATAAAGAGGAAAGGATGGAACCAGGAAAATTAAAGCTCCAGAAAAAATAGGAATTCTTCTAAGGTCAATGCTAATGGTATGTGATTTAGGCCACATGGAAGCTAGGCTAAAATGAGCAAAAGTTAATAACAGACAAGAGTCAACATGCCTCCTGACTGGCTATACACAACGAAAAAACTGAGGATATAAAATTGTTTTTTTAAAGATGGCTAAGTATTATTCAGCCTTTCAGTCTAAATTAAGATATTACCAACTCTATGAAACATCTTAACACTCCACTGGAATATATGTCTTTCTTGTGCTCTTATAGTTAGTGAGTGAAATGTAAACGATGAGAGTAAGGACCTTATCTTACTTCAGTAAGAGCCTTATCTTCATTACTGTGTCCTTACCAGTTAGAATAGTACATGACACACAGGAGGCACTCAAAAAATAATGGTTGGACAGATGCTCTAATAGTTGCTATTCTTTGATCAGTTCAGTTTTGTCTCTCACGCCTCCCTCTTTCTTTTGTTTTTCTCTACAGGGGAACAGAACAATGACGACAGCTTCTTTTTTTTTTGGGGGGGGAGGTTTTTGCTTTAGGGCGTGTGTACTCGCCAGACAGACAGAGAGAGACAGAGAGACAGAAAGCGAGAAATCACCCCCCCCAGGGGGGATGGCCTTGCCGCAATCTCTTCTCCATTCTCCTCTCGGGATCTTGGGCACGCATGCACATATGCCCAGTGTGAGTTTAAGCCACTGGGTCTGAGACTTGAACTGAGGTCAACTACATGGGAGTCCAGTGACATAGCCATTACGCTAATTGCTGGTCCCAATGACAGCTTCTCATATTCCTCTTAGGCAGAGAGATTTGGGCCTATAAATCAGCGCTTGTCTCAAGCTTAACCAGTGAGAATCTCTCTCTGGATATGAATCTTGACCAGGAATATAGAGAGAAGCCAACTAGAACTGGATAACAGTATTGCAGGGAGAAAAGGCTTATGATTTGCTTCTGAGATCCCAGGATCCTTCATTCTTGTTTCTCCAAAGGCTGAGTTGTTTCAACTGTTCAGTTAGTTACCTCCAAATCATCCCAATTAATTTTTTTTAGTCCTATTAGCCAGTTCTTGTTATTGGCAACCATGTAACCAAATCAGAAAGTGAAGTATTTCCTGCTGTCTTTTTACCTTTTAAAAAGAAAAAGACCGTAAGATATTTTAAAAGTTAATTCAGAGTTTTATTTATTTGTAAAATTCCAGGTTTGTATGGATTATTGCTGGAATATGTTAGGAATCCTCTCTGGCCATCAGAGGAAATACGAGAACTCTTGAACACACACATCTCCTCTTTTCTCTTTCCTAAAAATGCTCTATCTCCCTGGCCTGAGCAATAGTAGATTAATAGTCTTGAGTTCTTCTCATTCTGTTTCCAATTCAGAGAGAGAAAAGAAAATCCCATTCTGGTTTCAAGCCCAAACCTGCAATCTGTACTCCAACTTTACCTTTAATAAAGCTGATATTTTGATCCCATTTGGCACAGTTCTTAGTGCTTTTATTAACCAAACCCTGGAACAAAAGAAGGGTAAGTGGTAAGACTCAGATACTGAGCCTCATCTTGAAAATCCAGTAACAAACCTATATCGACAAATGCAAAGAATCAAATGAGATTCTTTCACAAGTACTCATCCAATAACAGGATATCCTAACCAGGAAAAAGCTCAAAAAAAAAAATGTATTTAAGTTAGGCTTTTTCTCCTTATGCACAGAGGGACTACGTCTTTTACATGGTATATATAAAATGTCAGATCTGGACCACTGAATGACCATAATGAATATGTTAATGCATAGGTAAAGAAACTTTTAAATATTTTTTCACAGGCAGGGGTTTAAGACAAATTGTTTAAAAGACACTCAAGTTCTATTTAGTAGTACAAATCAGTAATAAACATAATTACAATTTATGCCCCATTTACTTCAAAGGGAGAATTGAGGTGATTTATAGAAAGAAAACAAAAAAATTAGCTGAAAATAAGTGAGAAGTGACTTAAAGCTATACTTTCAGGATAACACACAAAACAACAAAACATTAGGTCAGGAAAGTTATGACCTATTCCTCTACATTTTTCTATGCAAAAATGTGTCAGGACTTTCCTGATGACCCAATAGAGTGTTTTAACTATTTTTCCTTTCAGTACATCGTAGCACTGAGTCTTCAAGGGATTTGTTACATGGACCATTAGGTTGACAAATAAATAGAGGATAGAGCAAGTCTACAAATGAAGATATTTTCCAAGCAGTCATTTTTAATAATGAACTTCTAAGAACATGCTTTTTTAAAATTTTCTTTTCTTTTAATTTTTTTATATATTTAGCTTGTAAAGTGAATATTCCCAACATGAATACACTTCACACCAGTCGAGGATACTATACATGTTATCGTCAATCTATCTGTGTCTCATAAATGTCTTGCCTCTCTATTCTTCTCCTTTCCTCACACTCTCTCCCTTCTCCCACCCCTCTTCCCACAGAGTCCAGTATCCATAACCATTTTCCATGCTTCTATATCCTCTAATCTTTCAGTTTCTGACATGGAGTGTGGGCAGTCAGTATATATATCAGTGGAGACATACAATGTCTCTGTTTCATAGCCTGGCTTGCTTCACTCAGCAGTAAATCTTTCATAATTATCTACTTTCTATCAAAGATCAGGGTCTTCTTATTATGGCTGAGTAATATTCCATAGAATATATGAAACATGCTTTTGCCTAAGGGGGAAGATTGAAGACATATCTCCATATAACCAAGATAAGTAGATTAGATTCTAGTATATTAGATATAGGTATATTAGATTCTAATTAGACTTGATTTGGGTACAAAATGTAGAAAATATGAAGAGTAAGTAGTTAGTACACTCCTTAAAAGATTCTCAAGCTTATGCTAGCCTTACCCATGACACTAGCACATCTCAAAATTAAGTCAAATGTACAAAACTAGAATGTGCAAATGTTATCTAAGATTACTGAAGTATTAGTATTATAAATTCTTTTTCTTTTTTTTGGAGAGGTTTATGCTATAGGGCGCGTGCGCTCGCCAGACAGACAGAGAGACATAAAGCGAGAAATCACCCCCCAGGGGGGATGGCCACGCAGTAATCCCTTCTCCTCCATTCTCCTCTCGGGATCTTGGGCACGCATGCACACACGCCCAGCGTGAGTTTTAAGCCACTGGGTCTGGGACACGAACCACGGTCGACTACATGGGAGTCCAGCGACATAGCCATTACACTAACTGCTGGTCCCTAGTATTATAAATTCTACTTAAAGGACAGACAACTTCCTATTTAGAAAAGCAAAATAAAATAGTCTTACTTCAATACTTGCTCAGATCAATAACCATTTTATCTACACAATAAAAGGCATAGGTTCTGTTATAGAGAGATAAAAATTTCTATAATGAGAAAATTTAAATCTCACTAGATTTCCTAAGAGGTAATTCAGTAAAACGCAATAAACTAAGAGACAATTATTTCAGCATCTAAAGCTTAGTAGGGAGAGAAGACTGAATACATACATATCATGTATATATTACCAAGTAATATATACCATGCACTATGTGAAACATTTTATACATGTCATAGCATGATTGATTTTTACGAATTTTGGAATGATTAATATTAATCTTGATTTACAAATTATTTAATATTCCTGAACGTTGATAAACTTCCCAAGGTCATACAGATAGCAAGTGGCTGAAAACAAATGCAAAAACTCAGTTTTACAATCAACTACATCAACCATACTTGGCCAAATCAACCATAAATTAATTTTAATACAGCTCCACTGAAGATCTAATTAATGTAATTTTGAGCAGTCTTCTAATAAATGAATTATAAAATGTATAAAGATAACTTAATGTTAAGAGTATTAGTATTTTTAGTAATTACTTTAAAAATCTGACAAAAACCAATTCTGGTTTTAGTTTAGTTGATGTTATCCTATTCTGATGCCAATTAGCTCCCTGTCTCAGTTTCTCCATAATGATAAAAGAAAACCAACTTGTTTTCACAAAGGAAGAAACTTCTTCCTATTTGTAATTCATATTATACACATACACACAAATGTCAGTGAAAATTACAAGTAGATTTTGATCAATTAAACATTATGCACTTTGGAATTTTTAAAACAATTATAAAACGTAATTCATATTATTTAAGACCAATGATAAATAAAATCCATCACTCTTAATGGATTTTCTTAGTGTGATGAAGCAATTCAAATGATCTGCTAATATCTACCTGCCCTTATACACACTTTAGATTCAACTCTTGATAAGCAGGTTAGATTAGAGTTTTATGAAATATTAAAAATACAAAGTTGTCATTTACAAAAAGAAACATCACTCATTTTTAAGGATGTGTTATACTATCAACCCTAAAGAGGTAGGTAATTAGAAGAACTTAACAGAGATCTAGACCCTCCTCTCAAGGAATAACTTATAAATCCCAACTGGTGACTGTTATAATTTTAAGATTTTTTTTTCTTGATGAAAACTGAAATCAGTAGCTAAATAAATGGGTATTACAGTTACAAGTGTTCATGCCATTGCACAATGACAAGTTTTCTATAAATTTTATAACACCTAATTCAAACACTAACAAATGATTAATGATGAAATGTCTTTACATACCTCCAACAAAAAGGTCTATCCCTCCAGCTTCTTTTATTTTCTTTTCAAAAGCATCACATTCTGCTTGTAAATCTGCAGCATTCCCATCAAGGATATGTGCATTATTGGGGTCTATATCAATATGCTTAAAAAAGTTATTCCACATATAAGAATGGTAGCTTTCAGGATGATTTCTTGGAAGTCCTAAATAGGAAGTTTATAAATAAAATTGCAAGTATTTCCACAGATAAATCTGAAGTTTATTTTTCTATTTAATAAAACTATTTAAAATATATAAACTTTCTATACTGTATACTTATTATATGTCTGATATTGCATTGCGTTATAGATATGTACATATTAACACAATAAATTTGTAAAACATCTATGGAAATACTTTCAACATTCACATTTTATAAATGAACATTGGAAACAATCTTTTTCAAGGTCACAAAGCTCACAGAGGGGCTCAGATTCAAACACAGGAAGTCTAGTCCATATACACTTAATCACTATACTCTGCTTCTCAGACACACAAAATTTTAACCAACAGAATTGACTCATATGTTAAGCCCAAAATAACACACCCATTCAACAAAAATGTGGCCACATTCCCCTCTATTCTTCTTGTATGTCTGCAAAGCATATTAAACCATAAAAATTCTTTGACTATCTTTTATGCTACTATTAAAAATTCATTCTATTTTTAAATTTTAATACAGTTTCTGTGTATCACAGATCTTGTCAGTTAAGCAAGTTAACACTCAATTAAATATAAAGTTTCACTGCTACAAAAAGCAGTCTCTATTTGAAAAATTCCTTTATTAACTAATGTTTTTACATACATATTACTTAATTTATCTAGACAAAACTGGTTTTAACTCTGCCTTAAGAAAGAAAAAGAACGAGAAATGTGAAAGAATTGGCTCAAAGTTACATCACTGGTAAATGGAAGTGGACAGGATGGATACAAATCTGATGTCGAGTCCTTCCATTATACCATCTGCCATCACAAAAATACAGTTTTTTATATCTGTATTTACATCCCAATTTCATCACAAAGCACAAAACAATATATTATATTCTAGAACTATTTTCACATGGCATTCAAAACACAAATCCAAATATATTAACATTCTAAATATTAACATTCTAAAAATACACTCATTTTATTCAAAATGTACTCTACAACATATCTACATAATACAGTCAATATATTCAAATATAGCTCACCTACATATTCGTCCATGTTAAAGGTCTTCACATATTTAAAAGACAGGTCTCCCTTCTTGTGATATTCTATCAGTTTTTTATAACATCCTAAAGGTGTACTCCCTAAAACAGATAAAAATTCCAGTTTCTTTTTTATTTTAAATAATTATTTTATTTAACTTTATTTACTTACTTAATTTGACCAGAGAGGGTCAGAGTAAGAGAGCGAGAGAGAGAGAGAGAGCAAGCAAGAAAGTGAGAAAGCAAGCTGCCAGCCCCAAGACTTGAACCGTGATCATCCATGTGGCAGTCCAGTGCCTTTAATCAACATGCCACCTGCTAGCCCCAAGATTCCAGTTCGTAAAAGAACTTGAAAATCTGGGACTGGTAGGTGGCATGGTGGTTAGGGATGCTGGACTCCCACATGGCTGACTATGGTTCAAGTCCTGGACCTGGCAGCTTGCTTTCTCACTCTCCTCTCTCTTTCTCCTTCCCTCCCATAGTTCCAGTCCCAGACCCAGTGGCATAAAACTTACAATGGGCGGGTGTGTGTGTGTGTGTGTGTGTGTGTGTGTGTGTGTGTTTGTGCTCAAGATTCTGATAGGAGAATGAGGAAAGTGGATTGTGGCATGACCATCCCATCTTGGGTAAGGGGAGAGGGGTAAGGTTTTGGACTCCCACATGGCTGACTATGGTTCAAGTCCTGGACCTGGCAGCTTGCTTTCTCACTCTCCTCTCTCTTTCTCCTTCCCTCCCATAGTTCCAGTCCCAGACCCAGTGGCATAAAACTTACAATGGGCGTGTGTGTGTGTGTGTGTGTGTGTGTGTGTGCTCTCAAAATCCCGAGAAAAATGTAGGAGAAGGGATTGCAGTGTGGCTACTCTACTGGGGGGGGTGATTTCTTGCTTTCTGTCTGTCTCTCTGTCTCTCAGACAAGTGCACGCACCCTACAGCAAAAATCTCTCTTAAGAAAAAGACAAAAACATTTATACTAAGTTTATTCTTTTCTTATATGCTGTATTTCTAATTTACTAGGAAAACAATTATTAACGTACATACATATTCAGTTATCAAATACATGTTGAAACAGTCGCTTTACAAGATACCTTGACATTTTAGTAAGAATTTGCTGAATAAAGCTGGAAATCTGTCAACAGAAATTATTTGAGGGCCCAGATGCAGTGGCACATGCTGTGCTCTGCAGGCTGGGAGACCATGAGAGGCCTGGGTTCTACTGCCAGTTCAACCTTAAGGCCATGCAACTCTAGTCCCAACAACTCAAGGAGGCCAAGATTGTGACCTGAAACCATCCTAAAACAAGAAATTAAAGTAATTTGAAAAAGTATTCTTATGTTGTTGGGTATCTGAAAGGAATTACTTTTGCAAATTCTAAGATTAGAAAATTCTAGAGAGTACTTTTGAATTAAAAGATAAACATCCTATTTTGGGGGGAAAGCAGTGAGTTCTAGCATAACTGGTATATAAATTTACTGAAATCATAAGGAAAACCCGAGCTAAATTTAACTTACTTTCAAAATAGGCTGAAACTGGTAAGCATAAAACTTTGAGCTTACCGCTTTTTAACTGAAGCTCCTATTTCTTATTCTGTGTCATCTTCAGTGTGTATCAGCTAAGACTTACAAAGAAAGAACTCTTAATTGTTTAAGATAGAACTTCTAGAAAATGGGATCTTGGCTCAGATAACTCTATGTGAGTTCTTGACTTTATTGTTTCATAACATAATTGAATATTTTACATGTTTTATAAATACAGTTAATATTTGAAAGTAGATTTATTTGACAATCCATCCTGGTTTAACACAATAAAGATAAACTAACTTAGCCTCTTGCAGATGGCATTTTTATGAAATGAAATTTGGTGTATTTTTTCCACTTTAACTCCAAACTGAAAGCTTAAACTAACTCACTACATTCTTGTAACAGGTGACTTACCTAGCCCTCTAAATCCTGGTTGCAGTATTTATTCCTAGACCACCCATGCACTCTTCCTCACAAAACAAAAACAACACAAAACAAAACAAAAAGCCTCTATGTCAAATTTCTACTAAAGTAGCATATAGCAGTTTGACAGAACTAAACAGTCTCTGGTAAAAAAAGAAAACCTTTTAAATAATAAAAAGAGAACCAGCAAGTAGCCTGATGGTTAGGGTGACTGGGTCTCACATGGTCAGTTCTGCAATTTCAGACCGATACCCAGAGGCATGAAAACCATGGTGGGAGCGTGTGCATGCATGCCCAAAGTCCCAAAAGGAAGGTGATACGGAGAAGGAAATGCAGCATGACTATCCCCCAAAGGGGGAGATGTTTTCTTGCTTTTTCTTTCTGGCAAGTACATGCGCCATCTGGCAAATTAAAAAAAAATTAAAAAAAAAAAAAAAAGCAAAAAAGATGAACACTCATGTGAGGTGAGAAAATAATAGAAGTGACTATAAATAATAAATACCCCAATAGGTGCAGAGAACAGAATAGTAAAAGATTTTGTGGAAACTCAGTGGAACTATGCTGTTTAAAGTTATAAGTAAAAACTTTTCAATGACCTGGTCAATAGCCCCACTAACATGAAACCTGTCTAAAAGATGGGTAAATATGCCTTCCTGTCTTCCTTTCTAGAAGTATAAACAAATCGTTTCTTTCAGTGTCAAGAGAATTACAGGATTCCCTCGATTTAAGGACACATGAATTTAAAACGTGAGAAGTTGTACAATTCTAATAACAAAGAAATAAAACCACTTCATTTTCTACTTTTTAAAAAAATTTGTTTGAGAGAGACTTTTGCTATAAGGCATGTGCACTTGCCGGACAGACTGAGACAGAGGGACAGAAAGGGAGAAATCACCCCCTAGGGGAGGATGGTGACCCCACAATCCCTTCTCCATTCTCCTCTTGGGATCTTGGGCACGCACACACAAGGGTCCAGCATGAGTTTTAAGCCACTGTCTCGAACTTGAATCACAGTCGACTATGTGGGAGTTCAGTGATAGAACATTACAATACCTGCTGGTCCCAACTTATTTTTTTCTTTTTTGGAGAGGTTTTTCTTATTGGGCGCATGCGCTCGCCAGAAAGACAGAGAGAGACAGAGAGATAGAAAGCAAGAAATCACCCCCTGGGGGGGATGGCTACGCTGCAATCCCTTCTCCTCCATTCTTCTCTCAGGATCTTGGGCATGCACACACATGCACCTGGCGTGACTTTAAGCCACCAGGTCCGGGACTCGAACCGCGGTCAACTACATGGAAGTCCAGCAACACAGCCATTACGCTAACTGCTGGTCCTCCAACTTTTTTTTTTTAAGAGGGATTTTTGCCATAGGACGCATGTGCTCGACGGAGAGAAGAGAGACAGAAAGCAAGAAATCAGCCCCCAGGGGTGGCCATGTTGCAATCTTTTCTCCTCCAGTGTCCTCTTGGGATTTGGGGGACACGGACACACACACACACACACACCCCAGGCCTGAGTTCTAGCCGCTGGGTCTGGGACTTGAACTGCGGCCGACTACATGGGAATCCAGTGATACAACCAATAAGCCATCTGCTGGTCCCCATTTTCTACTTAATCAATGTGGGTGAAGAAAAATAAATCAAAGAATTAGTACAGCAGAAACTGGTTAAAAAGTTCCACTGCAGAATTTGCCTTCCAATAGTCATTTCCTAGCATTTGCTAAACATTTAGCAAGTGCTTACTAGGATTCAAATAAAACAAAGTTTATTAAGACTTTCTATCCTAGAAGAATTCACAATAGAGCCATAAGCAAGTACAAAATAATCGTAACACAGTGAAAAACCTAAAAGATGTCTGGACTGTCACAATGAATCAAGAAAAAATAGCTTACTAGAAGAACAATCAAAGAAAACTGCACTTTAATTGAACACTGTAAGAGAGCTAGAATTCCAACAATGGTGAAGCAAGTTATGGCTAAGGATAGAGAAAAGATAGGAGTGGGGAGCCGCGAAGAGGATGTTTATATGCCTACCATGAGGCCTGAGGCTGTGCTGGTGTTTTTCTACATTACTTCATGTATATCTCACAACCTTGAGAAACTGGCATTATCTTTCTTTCTGAAGATGGAAGAACCAGAGCTAAAAGATTATGAAATCTGCCAAATACCACATGGCAGTAAAGCTAGGGATTTAAACCTAGACCTGTGTAGTGCCAGAGCTCATAAACCTTCCTTACAAAATATGCTAGCAACAAGAATAAAAGCAAAGCAAAGTATCCAACAAATTCAGGCCTGCTCTGCATTACAACTCAATTTGCTTGTAATCCCTATTCTGGGAAAAATGGGAATAAACTTGGGAGGCAGGGCAGGCCCACAACATGCACAACTGTAAATGTTAAGTTTGTTAAAATTGCTTCAGTAAACATATCATAAGCAGACAATCCCCAGAAATTGCGTTTGGAGGAATAACTATGACACAGCAGGTTGCTTCAATTAAAGACATGCATGTTCAAGTTTCAACAACTAAGGGGAAGGGTTGAAAAGAGAATATAATTTACATTGTCAGTGGTCAATAAAGGAAGAATACTAGAAAATGTCAACAAAGGTTTTCCAAAGATAATCCCTTGGCAATTACAGTCCTCAAACAAAAGCTAAGGTTGTAGATGTAAATACATGAAAAGAAGTTTAGCTCTGCTGGCAATTGGCACCTAGGACTCTGAAGTCTTTCTGTCTCCACACATAAATTACCATTTACTTCTGCAGAATAATTAAGATGAAGTGATTAAGGCCAACAGGCTGAGTATAACCCAGGTCAACAATATGCATACTGGTACAGAAACCATGTTCAATCACCAGAGCTCTCATATCAGACTTGATGGTGCTAAAAGGTGTGCAGTATTGCTGTACCTAATTAAAAAACAAACAAAACCAAAACCAGTATTACTCCCTGCCACTCTCACTGAAACCTACTTCCTCAGCCCAAAAGACAAAAAGCAAAATGACAAAATATCAACCTGAAGAGCACCACTGATGGAATTACCCACCTGGAAAAAAGGTTATGACTGCAGCTCTTATATAGTTGCCATGTATGGGAATGGAGCAGGAGCAGAGTCTGTTTAATGAAAGACCTAGGGAATCTTACATTAATGTAGTACCTATAGCATACAAAGGACTTGCACATTCAATATCGTAGTTGAGACTCAGAAATTATCCTTATCTTTCTTGCAGGTAAGGGAACCAAGGTTCAGGTGTACAGGATAAATGTGTTGCATTTATCACCAAGCTCTGATTCTAGGTCTAATACTCACCAAGCTCTGATTCTAGGTCTAATACTCTGTGAAAGCCAATGGTCAAGAATATTCAATAAAGTATCACAAGACCAAATGAAACTATATGGTCATTTTAAAAGAGAACCCTTAACAGAAAACTAAATCCAATAAAATATGTACTGTTTGTTCTGTAATGAGGACATAAAAGTCTTAAAACTTTCCACTTCTAATACTTCTATAATTAAAGAAAAAGAAATACTGAGGGCTAATAAGAGAATATAAGGCATGTGAGGTGAAAATAGAGGTACATACTTTAGGTACTTCTTTATGATTAACAAAAAGGTAATCTATTTAAAAATATATGAATAGTGACAGGCCCTAAAAACAAAAAAAGGACTTTCAGAAAAAGGTACAAAAAATACTATGGCCATTACTTAAGTTAGAATATTTTGGGACCACCAGTTGGCATAATGGCTATGTGGCTGGACTCCCATGTAGTCAACTGCGGTTCGAGACCTGGATCCCATGGCTTAAACTAACGCTGGGCGCGCGTGCGTGTGTGTGTGTGTACCCAAGATTCTGAGAAGAGAATGGAGAAGGTATTGTGGCGTGGCTATCCCCCCTGAAAGTGACTTCTTGCTTTCCGTCTGTCTCTGTCTTCCTGGCAAGCTCACAAGCCCTATAGCAAAAACTCTCAAAAAAAAAAAAAAAAAAAATCCAATTGTGTTTTGGTGAAACAATTTTTTTTTTTTTTTAAAGATTTTTGCCACAGGGTGCATGTGACTGAAGAGAGAGACAGAAAGAAACAGAGAGGGGGTGGATAACAAATCAGCTTCTTGGCCATGCTGCAATCCTTTCTCCTCCATTCCCTCCTTGGGGTTTAGGACACACATGTGTGCACACACAGAAACACACACACACACACACACAGCATATTTTTCAAACTGCTAGGTCCAGGACTGGAATCACAGAGTCAAGTCATGTGTGATCTAGCACCTTAACCATCATGCCACTTGCTGACCCAATGAAAAAGAATTTTAACATAAGAAATAATAGTAAAACAGAACTATGAGATTATATGTATTTGTTTCTGGCTTTATATACTAATATGTTCAATCAGTGATATGATAAGAAATGAATAGGAAAAGTATTTCACTAAGAGAAATTCTATCTTCCCATAACTGTAGATAACCAGAGTATCTTAAAATGAAAAAAGTGGTTTATTACCTGTTGGTAAACCCAGCGTAAAATATCTGTCCTGTCCAGGCTTGAACTGAATGATGCGATTACAGATGTACTTGGCTGCCCACTCACTAGCCAAGTCATAGTTATCAAGAATGACAAGCCTCATTATGGTGATACACAGCTTCTGGGATAAGAAGGTCAAACCTGAGGAAATTCCATTGTAGAGCATTTTCAGTAATTTACAGATATTCAAATAGGAGTATAATATACTGATGTTTTTTAAGAAGGACATGTACTTATACAAAAATAATCTGTACTTTTAAAATCATAGTAATAGCTGTTCTCTTTAAAGCAGACCATGAGATTTAGGCAGTGGGAAGTCTTTTAAGTATACATATACTAATCCTTACAACAATTTCTTGACACAAATAAAATGCCCAATTTTAAATGAAGAAATGAACTCACACCATTTGACCAAAGTATACGAGGGAATCTTACTATAAAAACACCACACCACACGGTCTACAGGTACAATATATACTCTTACTAAAGACAACATAAAATAGCCCTACAGGGAAACACAGTAGTACTTATTTGTTGACTGCAAGGTAACAGTAGTAATCATTACTCAGCAATTTTTGTGTTACTTACTAAAATCCAGAACTCTCTCTCTATAAATAATAATGTTATATAGCCAAATCTCCCTTTGGTTAAACAATGTTTAAATCCTATTACTCAGAAATAATTCTCATTACTACACATATATCACTTCAGATATCCACCTAAAGCATACATATAAACAGTAGGTACGGAAACTATTTTAATAATAGTTGAAAACAATATACTAAACATGATACTGACATTTCTAATATTAATAGAAAGATAATTCAACCAAAGAAAATGTGAACTAAAGAAACTACTGATATTGGGGGGGAAGGGGGATTTCTTCACAAAAAATGTTTAGTTTCTAAAAAACGACTCTATAGTTAAAAATTATTGAATTAAAAAATTGGAGTCATTTAAAAATACGATCCCATTGTACACAATGGAAATACATACTACCAGAAAACTGTGACATTAGTACTCTTATGCTAACCTCCTGGACTGCTGTAAAGTACATTATTTTTAAAGTCTGAAGATTTACTACATTTATACTGTAAATGTTGAAATAGTCATAAATATCACATTTTAATTCTCAGTTTCATATTAAAATGGATCAGTCACCAACACCAATCCTTTTATAAAATAATTTCAGCATTCCTTAGTTCTGTATTCACATACTCTACACAGAGTAATAAGAAGTCAAATTGTTTAAGTTAACCGGAGTAAAAGGTCTAAGTCAAATTGTTAGATGAGTAAAAGGTTTATTACAATGAATACATGGAATCTAAACAATGGTACTTAGAAATATAACGATTTAAAATTCTGACATTGTAAAAAACTATCACTGTAATCTAAAATTCTGACACAGTAATGAGATAAAGAGCATACAGAGATGATAAATTACATAGTAAATCATAATTTCAGTCCCACAAATTCACTCACTCTCCACTTCAATATACCAGTACTCTAATGTCAAAACCAATTTTAGAGTTACACTAAAGAACAGAAACTGCCACCTGTTACAGCCATCCAAAACTATATTTACTTCTAATAAGAATATTTGGGGACCAGCAGTTAGCATAATGGCTATGTCGCTGGACTCCCATGTAGTCCACCGCAGTTCGCGTCCCAGACCCGGTGGCTTAAAACTCATGCCAGGCCCATGTGTGTGTGTGCCCAAGATCCTGAGAGGAGAACGGAGGAGAAGGGATTGTGGCGTGGCCATCCCCCTGGGGGGGGTGATTTCTCGCTTTCTCTCTCTGTCTGGAGAGCGCTTGCACCCTATAGCAAAAAAAAAAAAAAAAAAAAAAAAAAAAAAACCTCCAAAAAAAAAAAAGCAACCCAAGGTAAAAAAAAAAAAATTAAAAAAAAAAAAAAACCACCACCAAACTTTTGTTGGAGGGAGGACATTAGAATTTTCCAAGTGTCTCCTGTCTCCTGTACATGCTCTTTTCTCAGTTCAACATACTTCACTGTGAAGACCAACTACAGATTAAGCACTGTTCCAGGTTCTGCAGACATAAGATAGTAAAGGCCCGCGCTGTTAAAGAAATTAGAATCACTTAATTTAAAAGTCTCTGAGGTTGAAATCTTCATTGTGTTTTCAGATGAAACGCAAACACAGAAGTTTGCCAAAATTTTAAAGCTATTAAGTAACAGAGGGATCTAGATTGAAAACGATGCTGTGTCTTAAAGAAACCATGCTCCAAATATGCCTCTACTGGTTAAGAACAACCCAGGATGTTTGCTAAAATACAGATCCCCAGGACCCTCTCCCTGAAACAGGGTTTGAAACAGATCAGAAACAGGGAATCTGTACTTTTACTAACACTACAAAAAGCTCTTACAATGAGATTAAATTTGGAAAATACCAGATGGCACATGTCTTTTCCTGTTTTTGCCAAACGTCAGAAATCCAAACTCCTTGGGGCCGGCAAGTCGCGTGGTGGTTAAGGGCGCTGGATTCCCACATGGTCAACTGTGGTTCAAGTCCCAGACCTGGCGGCTTGCTTTCTCACTTTCTCTGTCTTTCTCACTCAGTTCCTCTCTGGTCAAAATAAAATCAGTAAATGAATAAATAAATGTTAAATAAAATAATTTTTTTAAAAAAATGCAAACTCCTGTGATCCAATGCAGTTTACTGCCATCAGGACCAAAGAGCATTCAGAAAACGACTGGACAGCATCCCTTCCCTCATTTCCGCTCAGATGCTGATTCATTTCGGACGTGCTACCGACCACTCATCTCCGAACTTTAGATGGGAACTTCTACGCCACTCAGCTTACAGAGCTAGTTAGTAGTGGAGCCAAGACGGGAATCTAAGACTCCTAGATTCTTCTCTCAGCTCTTTTCCTACACTATGTTGCACTGACCCGAAAAGGCCCCAAAAGCCCGACCAGAAAGGGGCGCATCGGGCAGGTGGGCTAGCGGCGCTGCCAGGTAACAGCCCGAGAAGGAGGACACAGGATCGGCTGAGATCCTGCCCGCCAGCCGCCCCCCCCCCCCGCCACTGCCTGTCCCCAAACGACAGCGACTGCTAGTGAGGATGGCAATTTTTGACAAGTGCGGGGAGAAGAGTCAGGAGAACGCCGAAGGGACAGGGAAGCCTCCTGCCGGCGGTCCAGCTCCGGAGATGGCGACCAGCCAAGCTTTGGGGGGCAAGGCCGGGGGCCCCTACGCGCCCCCCACCTCGAAGCTCCAGGGACTCCAGTCGGCCCTGGGCCCACGTCCTCGTCTCAGCACAAAGCCCTGCAGAGGCGCAACCGCCTGCTGGGTCTCCGTCGAGCCCCCTTCGAGGGCCTCCCCTAAACTCACCGGCGGAACTACCGGTTCTTAGAACGCTGGAACAGCGGGAACCACCAAACACTCCACTACCGGTGAGCTACCCGGCCGGCGCGTAGAGCGCGAAGCCCAAGGACCCGGATGCCGACGGAAGCGCCGGAAGTGACGCCAGGGCCGCGCCCGCGGCCCCGCGCATGCGCACCGCCTTTGGCGCGTCTGGGAAGAGGTTCCGAAGGTAGGCGGCGGTGCCTGAGCTGTGGAGAGTTGCGCTTCCACCCTGTTCCTGTGGCGTCGCCTTGCTTTTCTGTGTTTTTAATTTCTCAGTGCTTGAGTTGTGCTAGATCCTTTAGGATTATGAGATTTCGCATGTAAGGATGCAGTGCTCACGAAGTATCCGAGATTGCAGTCTCCAATCTGGCGGCTTGCTCTTTTTTTTTTTTTTTTTAGAGGGCGCGTGCGCTTGCCAGAGAGAGACAGAGAGGCAGAGAGACAAAAAGCGAGAAATCACCCCCCCCACAGGGGATGGCCACGCTGCAATCCCTTCTCCTCCGTTCTCCTCTCAGGATCTTAGGCACCCACGCACACGCGCCCGGCATGAGTTTATGCCAGTGGGTCCTGGATTCGAACTGTGGTCAACTACGTGGTCATAGCCGTCATGCTAACTGCTGGTCTCGCGCGCTTTTTTTTTTTTTTTTTTTTGAGAGTTTCTTTTTGTTTTGCCATAGGGTGCCGTGCGCTGGCCAGAAAGGCAGAGACAGAGATAGAAAGCGAGAAATCACCCACTGGGGGGATGGCTGCGCTGCGATCCCCAGTCCTTTCTCCATTCTCCTCTCAGGATCTTGGGCACAGCACCCACACACGCCTGTTTAAGCCAACAGGTCCGTGACTGGAACCGCGGTCGACTGCACGGGAGTCCGGTGACATAGTCATTGCACTGACTGTTGGTCTGACTTTCTGTCCCTTGCTCTCACTCTCTCATAATTAAAAAATAGTAACAAATATGATTAAATACATGGTTTTTTTTTTTTAAAGACCTGTAAGAAATAAAAAGGTTTACTGGGAATATTGTAAGAGCATAAAAAGATCCATAATTTTGTCAATGGTTTTATTCTGGGATATGTATTTTTTCTCTGGTTTTATTCTTCATATTTTTATTTTTGTCTTTTTACATTCAATCACTGTGTATCATTATAGCATACCAAGTGAATTTTCCCGTCATGAATACGCTACATTGATTCAAAAATATTACTGTAGGCATTATCATCAATAGAAAAGTTCCTATTTTTGTGTCCCTTTACTGTTTTGCTTCCCTCTTTTCCCCTTGATTTTCTCTTACCCTCCTCATCTCCCACCGTCCTTGCACACCATCACTGGTGTCCACACTTGCTCTCCATGCTGTTCCTTATATCTTCCAATCTTTGAGTTCCTGCCATAGAGTGTAGAATTTCATATCGAAGTGGGCATGACCCCATCTTGGAGGAGTACCTCCAAGGGAAGTGGGGAATGAAGCAGAGGACTCCTTTAAAAACTCTTGAATTCCTATGACTAAAAACTTGCCTTCTCCTCTGTGCCTAAGAGTAAACAGAATAATTAGCATTCCTATTGTCTTTAAACCCCGCTCCTCTTAACTGCCCTAAAATGGTCCTTAGTAATATAATCATCAGCCAGACCCCTTGCCCTGGGCTATGAAGACCATTAAAATTCTATTGTGTTTAGGCAGAGACAGAATCTATCCTAAGGAGGATTAACCTGTTTTTCTGGCTTTTGTCCTGTGCTTTTGCTTTTACATTGATAAAACCCTACCCCCTACCTTTCTCCTCCACTGCACCTCACATTATCCCGGACATGACTGTGCATTTTTGGTCTATATAAGCTCTGTTCCCTTTTCACTCAGGGGTGCGGAGTTTTGAGAGACATGAGTTCCCCCACCCAATGCCACCGGCTTAATCAATAAACTCTAATAAATTTGGCTATGTTTGATGTCCTCTTATTTCTTGCTGAGTAGACTGTAACAAGTATTGAGTGGGAACATACAATCCCTCTCTTTCATAGTCTGGTTTGCTTAGCAGTAAATCTTCTACATGAGTCTCGTTTCAAATGCCAGGGTCTCTTTTTTTTTAATGGCTGAGTAGTATTCTGTAGTGTATATGTGCTACACTTTTTCAATCCATTCATCTGTGTGTGGACATTTGGGTTCCATATCATGGCAATTGTAAATAATGCCACAGTAAACATGAATGTGCAAGTATTCTTTTTGATTTTTTTTAAAATTTTATTTTTTTTTTGGAGAGGTTTTAGCTATAGGGCGTGTGCGCTTGCCAGACAGACAGAGACATAGAGACAGAAAGCGAGAAATCACCCCCCGGGGGGATGGCCACGCCACAATCCCTTCTCCATTCTGCTCTGTTCTCCTCTGGGGATCTTGGGGCACACACGCACACGTGCCCGGCATGAGTTTTAAGCCACCAGGTCTAGGACGTAAACCGTGGTCGACTACATGAGAGTCTGGCAACATAGCCATTACGCTAACTGCTGGTCCCAAATGTGCAAGTATTTTTCCAACTGAGCGCATTTATATACTTTGGGTAGATACCCAGGAGTAGAAGTGCTGTATCATATTGGTAATTGTAACACCATAGCATTACACTGAGCAAAGAAGTCAGTATCAGGCCCAGCCACAATGGCACACACTGCTAAGAAGTCAGTATGAGGCCTGCCACGATGGCGCATGCTGCTAAGAGGCTGTGCACTTCATAGGCTGTGACCATATGGGAGACCCAGGTTCAATTTCTGGTCTAACTTAAAGACTCGGCACAGAGGTGTGCACCTATAATCCCAGTGATTTGGGAGGCTGAGGGAGGAGAATTGAAAGCTTGAGGCTGGCCTAGGAAATGTTTAAGAACCTGAATAAAAAAGGGTCAGGCATGGTGATGTGCTCCTGCAGTTTTAGCTGAGAGGCTGAGGCAGGAGGATCACAAGGTGACAACACTGAAAAAAGGAAAAAAAAAAAACAAACCAGTATCAGAAGGCTCATACTGCATTTACATGATTGCAAGTCTATAAGGAATGAAGAACAGATGAGTGGTTATCAAGGATTAGGACAGAGAAATACGACTGTAAGTAGAGTAGCATTAAAAATAGTTTTAAGATGATTGAACTGGTCTGTATTTTGATTGTGGTAGTAATTACATGAATATGTTCTTTAAAATCATAGAGCTGAACTCACACAAAAGTCATTTGTACTGTATCTTGATTTTTAAGACTATAATGAAAATATATTCTCCATAGTTACCAATAATGTGGAGGGCACTGCATATGGAAGCCATCTTGAGCTATCCACCATCTTGGAAACCATTAGGCTTCACATCCTCACTGAGCAAACCTTCTCTCAGAAATGTGACCAACCGTTCTCCCTGGAAGTGGTTGGGTTTCTAGGCAACAGGAGAGATCCATCCACATCAATGATTGGTTCATACTGTTCTATCTCATTTGCATTTTGGGCAACCAATTCCCACCAACTGTACATAACTCGACATTTCTCCTCAATAAATGGAAGTAGACGGAAGAAGACGACTTGATCAGCACCTCCTATCGTGTGTGCGTGTGTTTGTCCCATCTCTCACTCCCTCCCCCAGGGAACCTGTTCAAGTGTCCCGTGGGTCAGGACACAATAAAAATATGCAAAGATGGCCAGCCACAGTGACACAGTTGTAACACAAAACTTCATGATGCTGAAGACCACATTGGAAGATCCAAGATTCTTGTCTTGAGGTTTCCTGGTATACACAGAGTTGCATGCATCCATGGTCCTGGCTGACTGAGGGAGGATGATGACTGAGGACCATTTTTGTAATGCCTCTATCTTGCTCTTTCACTCTCTGAATAAACTTAAAAAAAAATCCTCCAAAGATTGAAACTACATTTTCTCGTGAGGAGCAAATGCCAAAGGTCTGCCCATGATCTATAGGCTATGGTTTGGGTGTCCCCAAAATTCATGTATTGAGATTTGTTTGTAATGGGATTAAGAGGGTAACAGCTTGATTTGTTTATTGTGTTGCAGTGTGGGGCCTTTGGGAGATTACTACTTTAGTGGTTAGGGCGAGACCCCAATGATTGGTAGGTTTATGCTTAGAGAAACAGGCTGAGAGAGAACCCCATGGATAGAATATCAATCTCTGCCCTCCCCCATGTTATGATGCTGTGGCCCCTGGACCTTGGACATCGAGATTGAGAACTAAATAAATCTCTATTCTCTTAAATTACCCAGACTTAGGTATTTTTTGTTTATATACATTAGAATGGACTAGAACGGTCTGCAATGTCACATATGTGCTGCTTCCACCAGTGCCAGCCTGATTTAATTTTCTGCTGTACTTTTCTCACTTAGCTTTAGCCGTACCAAACTCCTATATCAGGATTGTTCTAATTGGTCCTTATTTCTTCTTAAATTAGATCTTTTTAATTGCTTTCTCTTGGATGCCTTCATGTAAAACTCCCTAACTGGTTTTAAGAAATTACCCAAATATGGGAACAGCAGATGGTGTAATGGTTACGTTGCTGGACTCCCACTTAATCAACTGTGGTTTGAGTCCCAGACCTGGTGACTTAAAACTCAAGCCAGGTGCATGTGTGTGCATGCATGCCCAAGATCCCAAGAGCAGAGTGCAGGAAAAGGGATTGCAGCATGACCATCCACCCCCAGGGGGCGATTTCTTGCCTTCTGTCTCTTTGTCTTTGTCTCTCCAGCAAGTGCATATGCCCTATAGCAAAAAACTTCTCTCTTAAAAAAAGAAAAAAAGAGGGAACCAGCAGTTAGCGTAATGGCTATGTCGCTGGACTCTCACATAGTCAACTGCGGTTCGCGTCCCAGACCCGGTGGCTTAAAACTCGCGCCAGGCGTGTGTGCGTGCGTGCCCAAGATCCTGAGAGGAGAATGGAAGAAAAGGGATTGTGGCGTGACCATCCCCCCTGGGGGGTGATTTCTCGCTTTCTG